GCGTGACTGATGCCTCGGAAGTGTGCAAGCCAGGCCTATGCTTTTGACAGCCATTTGCCTTACAAACAATAGCAGAGTTGGTGGAAGACAACAGTCAACTGTAATTTATCCTCGTGTTTGGCTGCTGGGATCCACTGCCTCATCTCTGATGGCAGCAGCCTTTTGTAAGTGCTGTCTAACTGGTTTCCGCCAAAGTGAGCCAGACTTGCTAAATCACTTGGATACTAATTTAGCATGGCACATTTGGAATGATGGGCTATTCATAAGCACTAATTAAGACAGCTCAGTTGGTGTATCTCATTATGCTATGACGTCCAGCAAAGGAATTGCTGTGTACCTATGGCAAGTGAGACCCTCCTGGCGGGGCAGGGTCTGGAAGAGAGCACTGGTTCACAGAGTTACCCTCTGTTTGACTTTCCTTAGAACATCCATAGTAGCTGGAGTAGAGATAAACTGAAGATGGATTGGAGCAAGTGAAATGTATCAGAAATTTAAAGTATATTCGTTTCTCTGATGCTCTGTTCTTTATGTTCACTGCTAAACCACTACCAGTAATAAATCAGGATAAAAGCTGAGTGTTAAATAGCCTGTGGAGTGGCTGAATTGTCCAGCATGACACTCTGTGAAGAGTGAAGAGCTCCATGTCACAGTATTTCTCATGACTCACATAGGAAGAAGAAAGCCCAAGTCACCTGGATCATGTTGGTCACCAAAGGCATTTAGGGTCATGTCAGTCCCTTGTGACTCACACCATTGACTATAATTTACATGCAATTAAATAATGTGTGAGATAATGTAATAAATATTGAATTTATATTACAATATTTTGGATGCAAAGAGGTATTTCAGATTCCAGATGCTCTGGAATAATCACTTAGCTGTATAAAACAGGAATAGTGTTTCTTCAAAATCCTGTTTACTGAAACCAGTACTTACTGAGAATGTTTTGTAGTTATAGTTTAGCCATATTTCATAGTTAATAGTTTCACAGTTTCCATTGCTGTTTCAAAATATCTGAAGAGCTCTACAACCTTTACAGACCTTTAGATGCAGAAGCTTTTTAATTACAATTAGCATTTTTTTTCCTTTCTTGAAATACAATTCAGCACCAAGAGCACAATGGTTTTTTCACATTAGTTGTAACCCAAAACTATTCTCTAAGAAGCTCCTTAGGATTTTGAGAGTATATACTGAGGTGAATAGCTGTGGAAAACTGCAGAAGATAAAAATAATTCAGAGTCCCTTGTCACAATCCCCCAGTAGATTATACAGCCAAAACCAGCAGTATATTTTGGTCTTTATGAATATTACCTACCTGTTAAAAGCAGATAGATGTTTTTTAAAATTTGATTTCATGTCAGTTCAAGCTGTGATTTCCATTGTTCTCACTTTTTTTACTTCTAGTATCTATTCTTCTACTAGAAGATACTTCTAGTATCTTTAGTATCTCTAAATTTGCCTGCCATAATTTCAAGGTACCTGCAAACTGCAGCATTGACATACTCTTTCTAAGAATAAAAGGATTACCTCTGTTTTCCTTGATGTATAATTGATAGAATATTTAGTAATTTAGTATTGCAAATCCTCTCTGTGTTCTTCTGTCTCAACATGCTATCTTTTCTAGAAAACCTCTGGATCAAAGCACAATGCATACATTCTTGGGGGCATCCAGGGACTGAATCTCCAGGCCTGTAATCCTACTTGTGAGAGGGGTAATTGACAACAGTCAGTGGTTAAGCAGTGAGTAACTCCAACAGCTACTCAGCAGGAGTTTCACTAGTCACAACTCCTCCTGTGTTTATGTGACCAAATGTGTTGCAAACATTTTCATTTACATTAGACCCCACCATCTCATGACTGCCTGGTGCTTGGCTTCAAGCACATTCCAAGGAGTAGGGCAGCATCTCAAGTTACAAACCAGTGGTATCTTGCCTACCTCAGGCTCAAGCTGAGGCTTTATTTCCTTTTCCCAAGTTACCATAAATTAATCTTTAATTGAAGTGACTCATCAACATGCTTCTCAGCTTTCTTCAGTCATTCTGAGACATGATTTGTATCAAGTAGTGTATGAAGGAATTTTCTTATCTACCTTCTTGGAATCTGAGCTTTTGGATTTCTCCTGTGTGTGATGCTGGTGTGATACAAGGGGAAGCCATAAGAGGTGACATTTTGCTTCCCTGCCCTTACGAAAGATTTGGGAACAGCATCAAATCTATTTTAAATTGATAAAACATAGCTCAAGTCTGCAGCCCCTTGGACATTACGTGAGGCACACAGTGTACTGCAAAGGGAGATGAAAAGGCATGAATCCCAGCTCCTTAATCCTTCTTTAATGTCTGACCTGTGACACTCCTGAAAGCTGACTGGACCTCACCTGTACTGTGTTTTAAAGTGTGGAAAGGATGATCCTCCTTCCAGGACCAGCTTCTCTAGATGGTTCAGGCATGTCTGTGCTTTTCTCTCCCCCTTCTCACACTGTGTTAGGCATTGCCGTGTGTCAGGTCTGATAGAGATCAGCATGCCCAAAATGCTTCCAGGGAAGCTGGGTTAGTGTTCAAACAAACTGACACATAAATAAGAATTTGTGCTTGCCTGCATACATGCTTTGAAAAGAGAGCAAAATGTTTAAATTTACATTTCTAAGGAAAATACCACATTTGCACATTTGCTACCTCTGTGAACAAAACTAGGGGGACTGAAAAAGGGAATGCACCTTCCTGACAGCTGTCTTGAGCTCTGTGTGTGATTATGGAAAGGCATGTGGCACATGAGCCATGGGGCAAATGGAACTGAGGCATGAAGCGGGCAGGTTTGGTAGCACAGAAGGGATATTTGGCTCTTTTAGGAGTTAATAAAATTGGAAACACTCAGAGCAGTGTTGAGGCAATGGTAATTACATCAGATGTGTAGGACTGTTATTGACACAGGTGAGGAGTAAGGAGTACAAATCTGCATAAATATTAAGAGTCCAAGGAATTATTTTGAAAACATAGAACTTTTTAAATAAACATGCAAAAATAAAGATTGTGTCACTGCCTGGCAATAAGAAGTACCGAATTCAGGGTAAGCTTTATCTTTATGTTGGTTGTATCAACATACTCCAGTGGTGAACTATGAGTTCTCCTTGAAAAAATAAATTGTGTCCACATAAACCAACATTAAAATAAGCTATTTAATGCTAGGCAACTGCCAGACAATTTACATTGCTTGTTTAAAAGACCGATTTGGAATGCACAGTGTGACTTTTTGGAAGAAGAAGGATGTGATTTGCAACTGCAAATCTTGTTATCTTTAAATAACTGTCCAATTGGCTAACTTTTTTGACTGCTTAGGTCATCGAAGAGCACCCATTTCCTAGCAATACATCAATATTATACAAGAGCATTTCTGAATGCACTTACAAAACCTTTGATTGGAATGCATCCCTTCTGTTGCTGGGTTGGTACAGCTGGGTGATAGATGCACAAAAAAGTGGGGAACTGGGGCCTGTGAGCTGTCGTCTCCCCAGCTGCAATGCTCAGGCACACTGTCTTCTCTGGTTTTCATGGGCTTGCATCCACCCAAGAGTACACTGTGCTTGTTTAATAATTTTTCATAACAAAATCTTATCATTGGTGTTTCTTACGTGATCTTCTTAGGATGCCTGCATTTCCAACTGGTTGCCCCAATCCTGCTATCATAAATATCTCTGCTTTTCAAAAATATTGTATCATTTGACTTAATCTTGCTTGAGGTTGGTGCTTCACATGGAGGTGCTTAGCTTTCCCATCCTTGTTCACTGAAACCAGTTAGAATAACAGAGGAAAAAAACTTAAGTTCCTCTTCATTACTGTATTCAAGATCAAAGAGAGAGGAGGGGGATTGCCAGTACACTGGGATGGTGACTCTTTTCAGATGCTGTGTCTTACTGGGTGCTTGTCAGGTCAGGTTCATGACCACATGAAGAATCTGAATATATATCGGTCTATGTGGCCTGATGAGATGCATCCCAAAGTCCTGAGGGAATTGCCTGATGTAGCTGCCAAACTCCTCTCCATGATATTTGAAAAGTCATGGCAGCCTATGAAGTCCCAAGTGACCTCCAAAGCAGCATGGCCAGCAGGGAACGAAGGGATTCTGTCCCGCTACTCAGCTCTGGGGGACCAGCACAGGAAGGACATGGACCTATTGGAGCAAGTCCAGAGGAGACCACCAGGACAGTTGGAACACCTCTTCTGTGAGGAAAGACTAAGAGAGTTGGGATTGTTCAGCCTGGAAAAGAGAAGGCTTCAGGGTGACCTAATTGCAGCCTTCCCACACCTGAAGGGAACCTACAAGAAAGATGGAAAGGAACTATTTACAAGGGGGAACAGATTCAAACTGAAAGACAGTAGGTTAAATTAGATACTCATTTACAGTGAGGGTGATGAGGCACTGGCACAAGTTGCCCAGAGAATCTGTGGATGCCTCATCCCTGAAAGTGTTCAAGGCCCAGTTTGATGGGGCTCAAAGCAGCCTGGTCTAGTGAAATATATCCCTGCCTTTGTCAGGGGATTGGAACTAAACTTGATCTTTAAAGTCCCTTCTAACCCAAATCGTTCTGTAATTCTGTCTTTTCTCGGTGTCATTTGGAAAGGTTTCCCGCCAGGGAGTTGCAAATCCCTGTGAAAGCACTGGTGTGCATGAATACTCATTTGCCAACACAGCCTCGTATCTTTGGGGGTTTGATCTAAAATGGAACATTTGCGGTCGGACTTTAAGCTTGCAAATACTCCAAGTCGTGCAAGGAGTACGTGTCCAGGTAGAGTGACAAAACCCCCTTATGCGGGGGGTTATTTTCGGTCCCTCCCAGGGCGTCCAGCAGCTCCGCTCCCAAGAGCTGCGGGAAATCTGCGGGAAATGGCGGGGTTGTGTCTGCGTGTTTACAACTCTCGGGGTCCGCCCGTCTCCCGTGCTACCTTCGGGAGCGGAGGAGCGCCGGGAGGGCGGCCGGGGGCAGCGCCACGTCGCAGCTNAGGCGCCGCCGGTGCCCGCCGCCGAAATCCCTCCGGATGGCACCGAGCTCGGCGTGGAGCGGCGCTTCGTGCCCGAGAGCTGCCCGCGGGCCGTGCGCCCCGGGGACTTCGTGCGCTACCACTACCTCGGCGCCTTCCCCGACGGCACCCGCTTCGACTCCAGGTCTGGCACAAGCCCGGCGCCGGTGCAGCCCCGCGGGGTTTGGTTGGGCACTGTGAGGGGGAGAGGAGGGGAGCCAGACGTGCCGTCCCCCACGAGGGAGGTTTTTCTGTGGATGTGCAGACATTGTGGCGCTGGGTGGAGGTTCGGTTCAGCTCCCCCTGCTTTTGCCAGCAGTGCCCCGTGGGGTGACCAGTGGGCAGCAGGTCAGTGGCAGGATGGGCAGTGTCGTACATGCGGGACATACGCATCACCGTGGGAAGATGTCTTTGAAATACGAAGGGCAGAGAGCTGGGGTATGACTCCTGGGGACATGGGGCAAGACCTCTGTAGTGGCTGGATCCAGTCCGCAGTAGTTTGCTTGCCCTTACGGATTCCTACCACGTTCTTTCAGCTGCTTCTCCAAGGCGCTGAATGGGGGTTTTCTGCTCCAAGAGTGAAAACCATAAAGATGCTCAGCTAGCCTTACCCCGGTAAACAGGAGTGTATATGGTATCACAGTCCCTCACAGTAGTGATTTCCTGCCCCTTTCATTTCCTAAGCCTTCTCCAGGCTCAAACCTACTCGATTGCAATCGTTTCTGAATCATTATCTTTGCCGGAAATATAGGAATTATCAGGCTGTATTTACATAGAATGTTTTTGGATATTTTATTCTTGAATAAATCTGACCTTTGTACAGTGAAGTGCCTGGCTGCTTTCCTGATGTTATTTTGGGATCAGGAAGCCTAAATAGTGGGATCAGGAGATTGTGAAGGATGCTGCTGCCGCTGACAGCTTATTTGTTTTTTCTTATTTCATTCATTGCCACTGATCAAAGTATTATTTAGAAAGATAAAGCAAAATGTATTTTCGGTAATCCTGGTAATCCCCCTTGCGCTTCAAGGAAAATCTACAGCCTTAGGGAAATAAGTGTCCTTCAAAGCTCAGCTCTCCCTCTGGAGCTGTCTGTAGTTAGTGTGCCACTAGTGCTGTATCACCAGCACTTCCCCGACTAAAATGTGGGATGTGATAGCTGGCACTTCAGCTGGTGTTGGTGCAGTTTCAGTGAAGTGGCACAGCACAGACAGTGAATCCATGGGCAACTGATGGACTTGGAGCATAAGTGTTAGCTGCGGATGTGAAGACACACCAAGGCAGCATCCTCGTGGCTTATTTTATAAATAGGTGACAATTGGAAAACTGGCCACGTGTTCAGAAGTGTGTTTCTGATTGCTACTGGTGCATTGAGGGAGGGTGCCTGGAAGGGCTGCCCAGGTGCTGGCTCTCATTTAAGTTCCTTGTCATTGCATTCTGAATTGGGGTAGGAACAGACTGTGCAGAACTGCACAGCATTTATCTCTTTGGATCCTCTAAATATTAGTAAATAAGTAGTAATGATGATACTCTAGTCCAACTTGAATATTTTTGTGGCTGCCTTCATTTCAAAAGGGTGCAAAATATCGGGTTTGTTCACCTTGGGTTTTTTTCCTAGATGGCAGCTCATGTTGATGGACGCTTTTGTTATTCTCTATGATCTTTTTTAAGGCTGATGACAGTGTTTAATCATGTTAAGGCATGGAAAAATGGGAGGATTTTATCTTCTGTAGGTTAATGGAAGGAATATTTTGGAGTGTTCATTCTAAAAATCTTTGGTTTGGTTTCTGCCTACAAGTTAAAGAGAGTCAGTTTATACAGAAATAAGCCCATTTTCTTACCTGTTTTTTGTTTGTTTGCCTTTTTTTTTTTTTAGATTTATGAGCATGTGTACCAGCATCAGTTTAATCAAACACTTTATGCAGTCAGTCTACAAAATACTCTAGATGTCGAGCTAAGGACAGTTTTGCTTTGTTCCTTCTTCAGCTCTTGAAAATGTTCTTGAATTTTAAAATGAATTTTCTGTATTTCCAAGTAGTGGGTAGTAATACTGCTCCTCGCATTACCAGGCTGTTGACAAAGTCTTAGTAATCATGACTGTGTCACATAAATTAGTATTTATAGCATATTATTATCATTAGCTGTTAACTATTTTTTTTTTAATCAGCATTTGCATTTTTTTATTTCAATAGCCATAAAAGGATTTACATTTAAAAGTCTGAATTTTATTGCCTAGGCATCTACTATTAATTTGGTCAATTCCACTAATAGAAACAAATTTTGCTTAATTTTATGGAATCCGCAAAGTCAGTCCTGCAAAGCTGCGTGGTCTGTTCGGTGCTTTGTTCAGTTCTCTGCTTTGCATCGATGTTCTCTTAACTGTGCATTTATTTTACTAAAAAAGAAAGCTCTTCTGTTCTAAGTTCATCCCAGATGTATTGCCAAGTTTTGTCAATTGCTACAAAATACCGTTTTGGAGGGTTTCTTAGAACCTATTATGTTACTAGTCTTAACATCTTAATTATGGTTTTGTGTGTGTATAATATAATTTGTGAGGGCCTAATTTAAATATTTTCCATCCTTTCCAGGGAGTGGGAATATTACTGCAACTGAAGGTGAATGCTCAGTAATAGAGGGTTGTCTACTTTAAGAGAAACGTTTGTCAGAAAGGAAAAAAAAAAAAAGGAGCAAACAGAGAGATCACTCAGTAAAATATTTGAGAGATTCAAGACTGTGGGCCTGTTAGGAGGCTCAGTATGTTGTGGAAGTGATGTGTACAGTCTTGGAAGGAAAGTTTGACATCATTTCCCTAGGGATGTCTAGCTACTGGCTGCTTTCCAGAATTTTAGCATGCAAAAGGCACAAGCCTTTTTTTTTTTCTTTTTTTTTTTTTTCCTCCCCCCAGGTCTGACTTTTATATATATGTATGTGTATATATGTATGTGTGTGTGTGTATCTAAGTGTAAAAAAAATGTCTTGAAATTATAAAAGGATTTGGGAAATTGGAAGAGGTAAAAGTTTAAAAATAGGCATGAAGCTTTTGAGATGCTTCTTGACATGTGTTTATATATTGCTTCAAAAAGTTCAATAGCAGTAATTCAGGCACATCAAAGTAGGGTCATTGTGCAGATTTAAGGTGGCCAAATGAACCGTGTAAATTAGTGATAGTGTTCTGCTGTGGTAACACTGCTGTTCTCCATCCTCTCTGGAAAACTGAGTCATTTAAGCATCATTTCTTTTATCTTTTGAATCTTCAAGTGTTATCACAGAGGAGGATCATTTGTTTCTTGATTCTTGGTCTGGAAAATGTGCTGTTTAAAATATGTCTCTGTGCTTTAAATGAGACCTGTGAAAGATGTTACTGACTAGAATCAATATGCTGAGATCCTACTGTGGGAGCGGTTTTCCTTTGATATCTCATAACAGTGCTTAATTTTTCCTTTTCTTCCTTAATTTTCCAGTTCTGCCTTTAATGTTGTTGTGTCAATTAGTTTTTTGTAGTTCTGGCCTTCAGGTGCCTGTCGTACACATTGTACTCTGCTAGAATGTGTTTCAAATAGGAAATGAGCAGTGAACAGAGGGAGAGCTGTGTTGAAGTCTCAGAAACACCGTGGATTTTCCCCTTCCTTTAGGAGGTGTCTTGTGATGAAGTTGTGCTAACGGGGAAAGAGGGAGACGAGGTGCAACTAACTCTCTTTCAAAAAAGCAGACCAGTAGAAGGGGATATCAGTAAACCACTAACATTTTTGCCTGCTTTTCCCCCTTCAGCTATGACAGGGGATCCACATTCAACGTGTTTGTGGGCAAAGGTCAGCTCATTGCTGGGATGGACCAAGCTCTGGTGGGCATGTGTGTGAACGAGCGTCGGTTTGTGAAAATTCCCCCTAAGCTTGCCTATGGAAGTGAAGGTGTCCGTAAGTACAGCACCGGGCCAGCTGCTGGGCTAAGGGATTCAACAGAGCACATAGGAAGCGGAGCCACGGAAGAGAAGGGGGAATCTGCAAGTAGTGAATTTTGGGGAGGTAATCCCCTGGTCCTCAGAGGTGTTTGTTAAGCCTGTAGCCTAAAGTAATCTCTCCAGACTCCCTCTGCATGCTGAAGGAAGAGCAGCTCACTGCAGGAGACTTTCAGGAAATTAATCTTTCTATGAAAGTTAACTATTTATTTATATCTACCTCCCAGTTAAATACTTAATTACACCAGAATTGTGGTTTGGCATTGCAGTGCTGCACAAGGTCTTGTCAGTTCCAAAAGTATCTTTGTTCTACAGCCTCAGAGAGGCAACAAATGCTAACTCAAGATAGTTTGCTGATGGACAGCTGTGGTAAGAGTACATCTTGCCAGATTTCCCCCCATAAATAGCTGCAGCAAGGGGCCAAGGAGTTGTAAGCACAACAGGAAATAAGGTGTGCGTTATGCAGTTCTTTTAGCCGATGCATGGATTGGTTCCTTTTTGCTGATACCTTGTGTAAAAAGGGAAAGAAAACAGTGTGTGTTCTGCTTTTGCAGCTGGTGTGATACCCCCCAATGCTGTGCTCCATTTTGATGTGCTCCTGATCGATCTGTGGAACTCGGAGGACGAAGTGCAGGTTCAGACTTACTTCAAACCCGAGAAGTGTCCTCGGACAGTGCAGGTGTCTGACTTTGTGCGGTACCATTACAATGGAACATTCTTAGATGGGACTCTGTTTGATTCAAGGTATGCAGCTGGGTTGTGTCTCTTTGTGTAGTTTAGTAGACATCCCATCATCATTTGCTCCCCTTTTACCTGTGTAACAATTAATGCTAATTGCCCAGAAATACAGGAAATTGAATCTGGCATCGGATGTGTGTTAGTAATTTATTCAGGGTAGCAATACTGACGCAAACCAATAAAACTGTGCATTATTTCTTCATGGGCTTTACCAATCTTTATCCAGATTATTTTTTTAATTTTAAGTTTTGTTCCCTGTGTTTATATTTCTGCTTATTGCAGTCAGTTAAAAGGCTCTATAACCAGTATAGCTGTTCAGATTAGATACAAGTTTTGTAAGGGATTTGTAATGAAAGTGAGCCACTAACACTTTCTTACTGAGATTTAAAGTGTACAGCATGTGTGCTTCGTTAAAGTCCATGATGCTTTAGTAACAGCTGCCTGAGAGCCACTTTTCAAAGCCTCTGTGAGGTTCCTGACATAGGTAACTACTCTGGAGAAGTTCCCAGCCTGCCCTTGGTAAATGAAGCGCTGATACTTTTGGACTAGCAAGTTGTGAATTACACTGTGCATAGTATGTGAATTTAAAGGTGGATATTGTTCTTTCCTGTGCCAGTCTGCCGTTTGGTTGTGATTTTTCTTTTTCTTTCTCATGTTCAGCCATAATCGGATGCGAACTTATGATACCTATGTGGGAATTGGGTGGCTGATTGCTTTTTTCAATCCCAAGTCATACATATTTTAAAACAAACTTTCTGTATTTTAAATTTATGGGCAGCATTATTACCCTGTTCAGAGAGATACTGCTTAACAGATGTATTGTTGATACAATTGTTGTATTTATATACTGAAATTTTATTTCAGTCAGGGAGTATAATCTGTGATTAATGTGCAATGGCACCAAAAGCTTGGAGACAGGTAACTACTAATTCTTTCAGATTGCCACAGAAAGCAGAAAACTTTTAAGGAAAAATGTGTTAAATGTATTTCTAATTCCAGGTGAGTTTTGTTGGTTTTTTTGACAAACGCTCTAGTGATAATTACAAAATTGATTGTCTTGTGAGACTGTGCAGCCTGCAAATCATACATAGATGTCCCCATGTTAAATAATGGGGCAGTTAGGTGTAGTTTATGACTTTTTCTTGTATTCTTTCTTTGCTCTGATATTTAAGGATTTGTCTGTGGTGTACAAAGTTTCATACCCCTTCTGTGGCTTCATTAACATTAACTGTGAGGCTGAAGAGGCCTTTGTTTTCAGTGAGGCAGTGCCATCACTGTGGGAATAGGAGGAAATGATTGAGTTGGAGAATTCAGTGAAAAACCCCCTGAACCAAAAAGTGACTGACTAGAAACAAATTTGCAAAGAGACCTGGATAAATTAGAGAACTGAGCAATCACCAGCCATATGAAATTAAACTGGATTCTGCATCTGGGATGGGGCAACCCTGGCTGTGGGCACAGACTGGGCTATGAAAGGCTGGAGAGCAGCACCATGGGAAGGGGCCTGGGGTTCCTGGTCAATGGCAAGCTGCACATGAGGCAGCAGTGCCCTGGCAGCCAGGAGGGCCAACCTGGGGGGCATCAGGGACAGCATCACCAGCCGGGCAAGGGAGGGGATTGTCCTGCTCTGCTCTGAGCTGGGGCAGCCTCACCTCGAGTGCTGGGGACAGGTTTGGGTGCTAAAATATGAGAAAGACATTAAGCAATTAGAAAGTGTCCAAAGGATGTCAATGAAGATGGTGAAGGGCCTTGAGAGGAAGCCACGTGAGAAACAGCTGAAGTCACTTGGTCTGTTCAGCCTGGAGAAGACTGAGGTGAAACCTCACTGCGGTCTGCAGTTTCCCCATGAGGGGAAGGGAGATGTAGGCACTGGTCTCTTTTCTAGTGACAAGTGACAGGACCTTTGAAGTTGTGTCAGAGGAGGTTTAGATTGGATATTAGGAAGAGGTTCTTCACCCAGAGTGTGACTGGGCACTGGAACAGGCTTCCCAGGGAAGTGATCACCACTGAGCTTGACAGAATTCAACAAGTGTTTGGACAATGCTCTCAGGCACATGGTGTGACTCTTGGGGTGCAGGAGCAGGAATTGGACTGATGATTGTAGTGAGTCCCTTCCAACTCAAATAATCTATGATTCTAATTTATTTTGGGAGGAGAGGTGCTTGATATTTGGCAATATGTTACTTTCCTTCAACAAACATGTTTAAGCTTCTGATAGAACACCTGCTGTTTCTTACCAATTTTTGTAGGTAAGGAGATCCCTGGGCAAGCTTCCCTTGTCTTTGATGTGGTTTTGCTGGATCTACATAACCCCAAGGATGGTATTTCTATTGAGAACCAGCTTGTGCCTGAAGCTTGTGAACGGAGAAGCCAGACAGGAGACTTTGTCCGATACCATTACAATGGTACACTTTTGGATGGCACATTATTTGATTCCAGGTAACCAAACCATTCAGCTCTGCAGATTGCATGTCCAGTTTGGCTCCTCTGTCATGTCCTTAATATGCTTAAACACGGTTCTTTGATTTTCTTTCCTTTTCAAAAAGTTTGAGTGGACTTGGAGTCTTTTTAAAGGACTCACAGAAAACTTTTCCATATGGGAAGGAAAAGAGCTGTTTTGTGCCATGGCTTTGTCACAGACGCCATCTAGGGGTAGTGACCCACCCAATGAAGCCAAGGGCTTAAGGCACACAAGCCTGAAGACTCTGCCTCATAGGGTTTATCTCCCAAAGAGGTTATACCACTGAAGAGAGAGAAAATAAATATGATTCTGTTTTATGTCCTGAGAATTTTGAGTCAGTGTGCTAGTGGCTAGTGTGAGGTTAATCGTATTTACACCTGAAAACTGTTTGCATTTTGAAGGCTGATGTCTTTCAAGACTGAATTATGGAATTGCAGAATTCAGTAAGAGGGGTTTTCTGTGATAAAGAAAGAGGGATTATTGTGACAATAAATTAAAAGCTCTCTGGGAACATGAGCCTCATGTACAGAATCATATGAATAATTTAGTTTTCTGTGACTTTGGTTGATTTTAGTGGAACAGTGCTTTACTATCCCACTCCAGCTTTCAGAACAACTGGCAGAAGTAGCTAAAAGAAGGTGAAAATGAACCAATGTAAAATGTTCTCTGAAATAAATTCAGAGAAAAATGTTCAGTACTACTGCAGCAGCCATCTCTGTAGACCTTGATACACAATTTGTGAAAGCTTATAAGTTAAAAATTCAAAGCTTATCCACAGCATACCTATTTCTCTTTTTTGAGATATGAGTATTTTCTGTAGTAATTAATCAATTTTTGGAAATAGCTGTGGTATTTATATGAGTGTTGCTGTCAAAAAATAGTAATAAATGCTTTGTAGGCAGCAGCCCCTACATAATTCTGAAGCGCTGAGAGTTGTTAGAGGGCTTGTTCATTAAAACATGTGGGAATAGGAGGACCTATTCCTGACCTGCAGAATTCATAAATGAAGAAATAGAGTAGCTAACAATAGGGATTGAAAAGCCTGGATCTATCCAGGACAAAGTTTCTCACTAGTACAAGGGAGCATGCCAAAACCTCTGTGAATGGCTGGGGTTGAGATGCAGCCATTAATAATACTTTATTTTGCCTTTTTACTCTGAAATATTTGACTGCAGAACTGTCCTGGGCAGCTCAGCCAAGGCTGTCTGGACTTAGAATAGTTTCATAAAGCTTTGAATTACATGAGGGTCTGGTCTTGTACTGGTTTAGTTCTTTCCCAGAGCTACCTTGTAAAGATGAATTAAAACCTTTCTGCCTTCTCTTTCTTGGGCTGTGCCTTTGTGCAACATGCCTTGAAGAAAGGCAGAAGACAGTCATGTCCATGTAAGAAACATCATTTGTTGCTGTAGCCTTGTTTTATTCTACCATGAGGTGTTGAAGCAGGTCCTTCAACCTGTGTGTAAGTGGTTGGCTTGGTTTGGAAGGGAGGGATGGTGTTGATACTGTTTTGGTGTCATGATTCATTTTAATGTTTAGCATCCCAGGAGAACCTGTTAATCCCACCTGCTCCTTTTAGTAGTTGAACTACATAGCTGTGGTTGCAAAATGAGCTAGTCTGCAGGGTGTCTCATGAAAATGAAAAACTTATCAACTATTAGCTATTTGATAAGTGCTTATTAAAGTAGTGTCAGGGCAGAGGAAATTTTAAAGGAGTAAACTTTTTTTTTCCAGTTACTTGTCCAAACCTGTTTTCTGTTTTGTTTAAAATACATAAATAAGTGTGATTTTTCTTTCAAGATACAGTAGAAATGAATTTGCAGATTTGCTGGCTGTTCACTAGCCGGAGTCTCACTGCTGGGTAATCAGTGACCCGTGTGTCACTGACTGATGAAACCTGGTGGCCTGGATTCATGGCACATAGTTCCTTTGTGCCTCCCTGGTGCTGGTTAATGACTGTGTGTTTGACCTTAACTGGTTTAAGAGTTGTGTTGCAGAGCTATTGCAAGAGCCCGTGTTTTCTTGAGTACACCTGACGCTGCTAAAATGCAAATGTTTTCCATAGTTACTCGCGAAACCATACATATGACACCTATATTGGGAAAGGTTATGTGATTGCTGGAATGGATGAAGGTTTGCTAGGTGTATGCACTGGTGAAAAAAGAAGAATAATAATCCCCCCTCATCTTGGATATGGAGAAGAAGGGAGAGGTGAGCTTGGCTTTGCATTCAAGTATTCTGTAGTTAAACCTTTATTGTTTAGTTAATCTGTGTGTATTTTCATTTTTCTGGCATTTGGAAGGTTTATTAATAAGTTCATTATTTTGTGGACATCAAACTGACAAGACCACATGCAGAATTTGCAGGATTAATTTGTTTATCTAAATAGGCAGGAGAATAAAATACAGAAGAACCTCACATGTAATTGGTAACCTGAACTTGTTTGGGTAATTGGTGTTTTAGGCAATCTGGTACTTGAATGCCAGGAGTTCTGCAGTATGAGATCTTCCTTCCCATGTGTCTTAAACTCTGAATCCTGAAGGAGTTCATCATGCAGATTTCTTCCCCATTCCTTCCACAGCCACAGCTTTTGTGGACTTCTAAGCCACCTCTGTTAATGCATGAAACAGTGAAGTAATAGTGTATATATAACATACAATTAACATTTCTGTGGGAAAACCCATTGCTATCCAAACAGATTGCTGAATATGATAATCTTCCTAGCTTATTGCAGTGTTGTGGCTGGTGTTTCAGAGTGCCTCCTGGGATGTGATTTGGAGAAGTGATTTAGAAAAAAAGCCTTCCTTCTGGGAATGCAAGTTCTGTGCTGTTGATTTGGAATTAGACTCCTTTACCAACAAACCCAAATCCTAAGTCTGGATGTGTTTTATTAATCCTGGTAATGCACGTAATCCTGGGAAGAGGGGGAAGAAGTTGCCTGCTTTTAGGATATTTTAAGGAACTGTAACCTTTTACATATAATGACATTCCTTGAAGCATGAGAAGTTCTTGAGAATTTTGATGATCAGTATTGAATTGGTACATGAAATACAAATGAGTTATTTAGGATAGTCCCAGGAAATACATGGTTATTTACTTCATTTCTGCATAATTTTAAAATTCAGGATAACAAAAGCTTTTTCTTCACCATTTAACTGAGTGCATTCATAGTGCTTTCCTACTGGTTGTCTTTCCTAGTTGGATGCAGCTTGCATCTGTTGTATCCTTTAATTCTGAATGAGAAGAGCAAAATAACTCAATAGCAGACACAGCAGGAGTACATATTCCTCTAGGGTGCAGTACCTGGACATCATCTGCCTGTTCAGGTACCATTACTTTCTTTATTTGTCTAATTTTCTTCCTACTTAGGAAAGATTCCAGGATCTGCAGTGCTGATCTTTGACATCCACGTGGTGGACTTCCACAACCCCTCAGATTCGGTCGGCATTACTGTTCACTACAAACCTTCCAACTGCACTGTACTGAGCAAGAAGGGAGATTACCTGAAATACCACTACAATGCTTCGCTCCTGGATGGAACCTTGCTGGACTCCACGTAGGTATTTGAATGACCTGGTAAGGAAAATACTCCCAGCAGCAGTGAAGGCAGAAGGAATTACCTGCAAAGCAAGCTAGCAGGGAATAAAGAATTTATTTTTCTTTTTAAACTGAGTATTTGTGTAGAATGTATTTTTCTCTTTATGGCTGTCTGCCAGAGATGCATAGGAGGAGGAGAATTTAAAGACAATCTGTCATAGCATAATGAGAGAACCAAGAACAAAAAGGATGTAGGAGTGTGTTGGAGAAGAACATAAACAGTTTGTGTGGAGTGATGAAACTTGTTGCATGGCATTCTATTTAAATGGGCCAGTTCAAGTGTCTGGGCCAGTCATGCCAGGACAGCACAGGTCTCATCAGGAATGAACTGTCCAGGTTTATTCAGTTTCTTGGATAAAATCCTAGATTTGTGCTCTGTGCTGATCCAGTGCTCCCTAGAGAGGTGTGGTAGGGCTATTTGTTGTGGTCTTGTTAAGGATACCTTGAGTGTGGTTTATAGTAAATGGTCACCTGTCTGTAGCACTCATTGCTGCTCCTGTATTGTAGGGTGGCTTTAAGTGTCAGCATGGAGAAACTATCAGAGGGCTTGATTGTGACTGTGAGGATAAAATGCCTCTTTCTTCTCTTTTGGCAGTAGATTTATGAGGGAAGCAAAAGATTGCTCTAGCCTGTCTCCTGTAGCACTGAAGTGAGTCTGGCACACAGCAACAAGAGTATTTCTGTGTAGCTTCCTTTTTTTTGGCCTTAATATTTTGAATAGTGCAAGTCATCCAAACAATATTTTATTTTTTGGAAGGGAAGTTGGGAAAAGCTATTTTTAACCAGTTTATAATTAATACAGGAAGCAGTTCATAGGTTTCACAGTGTACACAATAGCTTGCAGAGATGAAAAGTTTCCTTAATTTGGAGCACATGGTGCGATGCTGTAGGCAAGGATGTATACAAGTAATGTGTTTGGATTCAAAACACTGTTTATATGTCAGGAATGCTCAATTTCCATTTTGTAGCAGGAACCAAGGGGTGTTGAGACCATCTTACTCAAAGCAGCTTTTAGAGAATCAAAGATCATGAATCATGTGCTCCTAATTTTAAGGCTGACCTCTTAGCCACTGAATTGTTTTCTTTCCAAATCATACTGTGTTGTACAAGCATGTCCTGCAGAGGCATAGCCAAGCCAAATAACCAAAGAAAGGCAACCAATAGAATAAAGGGCCTTAATGCTGCACACTCTGCTTTTAGAATCACAATATATGTTTGACTTTTGGGCTTTTAACTGGTGCTAGTTTCTAATTTTAGAAATGAGCCACGGGCAACAAGGTATAATTCAAAATTTAATATGGTTAAATAGCAGTGGTAGTAGTAGCTATTCGTGCCAATAGCTACTACATTATAGTGACTGATTTCATTAAAGGGATGGCTGATCCATGAGAATGCACTCAGATCCCTATATGAGCTGGTGGTCCTGGGATGCATGTGCATCTGGAATTTTTACATCTGCAGAAAAGTCCAATTACAACAGTTAAAAATATGTGAAAGGCAGAAGCCCTTATTTCAAGATAAAATATCTTGGGGTTGTAATTGGCTCGATTAATGATTTTGATTGTATTTCATTCACAAAGCCTATAATTTTAGTGCCAGAGGACATGTCAGCAGCAGAGACCTGTCTGTTTGGTGCTGGCTGTAACTTGAGAACTACTTCAGGTAACTGTTGGGTAGAACAAAGCACTGGGTATTAAGTTAATTTTTGGCAATGACAGGACACTACTAGAAACTGCTACTTCTGTGGTAATTTTGAACAACAGAAATTTCCTATTTTATGTTGATTTTTTTTTTTTTTTTCATTTTTTCCTTTCCTTCCAGGCACAGCCTTGGCAAGACCTACAACATAGTTCTGGGATCTGGTCAGGTGGTGCTGGGGATGGACATGGGCCTTCAGGACATGTGTGTTGGGGAACGACGGACAGTTGTTATCCCACCTCACCTTGGTTATGGAGAAGATGGAGTTGGTGAGTGCACATTCACTTAGCATCTCTAGAGTGAATGAAACACAGGCCTGCATGTTTTATTAGCTGCTGAATGGGATTTTTTTAGAGGTTTTTCGTGTCATTATTTTAGGCACTCCCCCTCCTCCCTGTTCCCCAGTGGAATGAACATGCTGTCTGTGTTGCATTTCAAGTCATGCTGTTGCTGTGGCCAATAGAAAGACCATTGCAGTACAAAAGGGAACACGTGCCCCCAGTAGTGTTGCTTTGTCAGAACAGAAAGCTCCAGGCAATCTGGTGTTGCAGAGGGATGCAAACATTGTTTTCTAGGATAGGGAGTTGGGTGCTTGTGTTTGGACATGGGACATGTTATTCAGGAAACAGAGCTGTAGGGGACTGGTCAGCACTAATATGTTAGGAAATTCAGAAGATACATAAACTGAGTATAAGATGTGAAACAGTGTATTGGTGCTGTTAAAAGTCCAACAAAAATACATTTTAATGCAGCTTTAGGGCATTAAGGCTTATCAATTTTTAATGACATGGACAGCAGTAACAGAAAGAATGATACAGAAGTGACAAGAACTTTCATATCCAGGTATGTTGTTTCTGGTCTTCCTGGTTAGAAGATCTGAGGGAAAGGAGTCTGTCTTGAGATCACCAAGATCACCAAATTCTGACGTGTATGGAAACGGTTGCATAAGTTGCTGTGCTCTCTGAATAGCTCCAGAACAGTTCATAGTTTATAAAGACTGTCAGGCATCATGTGCAGAGCTTAATGGAGAATTAATTTGCTTTAAGAGAGAAGAATGCATTTCCACTTGTACCTGTCTTCTGTGAAAAATTAGGAGCATTATATATATGCAATGTTTTATGCATGATTTTATCTATTATACATTATAGACAATTGCATAGCTCTATGTATTGAATTGAAAATTTCCTCATATCATAAAAAGTCTGCTTTGTAAAATGCCTGTCATAAGTGTTTGCCATTGTTCAGGTTACATTTGATACACATTCTGAAACATTGCATGATTTGTTAGTGTGTTGGTATATATCCAGCTGTCTGAAGAAACTGCTTGTTTGCAGTCTCTTGCAAACTGATTAGAGGTGAGCTTGATTTTTCTTTTTCAAGACTAAACTCCTTCCATGGTTTTCCTGAGGTAATATCCCAAGCTGTTGCAACACTGTTGAGTCTCACAGGAGTACGCTGTGATACTCAGTGTATTGGAGAGATAAAAGAAAATGGATTATTTCCACAAGTTCAGTTTTTAAAATTAAAAACATGGATGCAGTTAGAATCATGGAATTGTAGAATGGTTTGGATTGGAAGGGACCTTAAAGATCAGCTAGTTCTCCCCCCCCTGCCATGGGCAGAGACACCTTCCACTAGAACAGATTGCTCAGGGCCCCATCCCAACCTGGCCTTGATCATTCCTAGGAATGGGGTATCCACAGCATCTCTGGGCAATCTGATTGTTCCAGTGCCTCAAGTTTTATTATGAAAGGTTCCTTTTATGGTCACCCTTGATGAAACGATCAGGAAGATTTGATGGGCTAGTGATCACACTAGAGAAGTGCCTTTTGGAGCAGGAAGATAAATTTAATTGTGGATTAGAAGGAAATATCCCCTTCAATGTAAGTGAGGATAAATAACCCTCTTTGCCATTTGTTGTGACAGAAGGAGAAGTGCCTGGAAGCGCTGTATTAGTTTTTGACATAGAACTGCTGGAATTGGTGTCCGGCTTGCCTGAAGGATACATGTTTGTATGGAATGGGGAAGTCTCTCCCAACCTTTTTGAAGAAATAGACCAGAATCATGATGGAGAGGTTCTTTTGGAGGAGGTAAGCTGACACAATGAAAGCAACTGCATTGGTTTCTTCTACCACTGTCAATGCCAATGTTGAAGGATAGAGTTTTTCCTCATTTTCTTCTCTTCTTCTTCTGGAATGGTGTTTGTCATCAAGGCAACCAGAAGGCAGGCTGTCAGCTAAAACATGGCTATTCAGCTTTAGAGTTAAAAAAGGACTGTAAGAATGGCCATACTATGTGAAGTAATTTACTTGTTGTGGTTTTCTTTGTCAGCAACAAATCCTTAGGACATAAGTGTAAGAGGTAGAGTTGGTATCCAACATTCCTTTGCTGTATCAGCCTTCTTGGTGTCTATCTCAGTGTTAATTGGCAGTTTGTGGTGAATTCTTGAGCCAAAGCTGAGCCTGCAGCAGTACATCCAGGAACTGTCTAATTTCTTCTGGAGCCTGGCAATGCCAGTGGCATTCCTTACACATGTGGATTGTGTGCTGTGTAGTCAAGTTCTTCCCCTTGCTTGCTTTTAAAATCTGCACTGTGAGAATGTCATTGGGTGTCCCAGTTGAAAGCCACTTGCTTTTGCCATACCACCTCCGATAACATAAACCTCTGTGAGATCTTCCTGTGCCTTTTCTTTTAACTCAAATTCTATTTTTTTATTCTCTTCTGAAGTCTTCTTTGTCACCTTTCTCTATCCTTCTGTTTTGTCCCTTCTTCTTTGTCCCTTCTTTTCTCCCTGGAGTGCTCACAGGGCAGGCTGTGGCCCTGTGGAGCACCATGAAGTGCCTTTGAGGATTTAAAAACCTAATACGGTAAAACTGAATTCTTATTTTCCCTTTTCCTATCACTCTCTTCCACCTCTTTGTTTTCCTTCCATCTCCATCTTCTCTCTTATGTTTACCTCCACGCCTGTCCTTGCAGAGAAGAAAAAACTTTTACTGGTTTAGAGAAAGAGGTAGAGGGAGGCTGTTGTTGTCCACATCAGCAATCATTCTTGTGTGTTGCTCCCTCTAAGATGCAGGTGAGTTTCTGTTTTGCAGTGTGAGCTTCATGTATCACGATGCACAATTACTGCCCTCCAGCTGTATAGAGCTGCTCCTATGTCCAGCTGCCCAACCCTTCCTCCTAAATGATGAAAAAGAAGTTTTCTTGTTATGGGTCCAAAACACTGGAATGAGTGAGGAAATCCCTGCTGAGCTCCACAATCACCGATTTAACCTCATGTGTCTGTTCTAATTAGTACAGTTTGGGTGGTAAACTTCATAGGGTAGTAACAGTGCCCTACATACACTTAAAAAGTAGTAAAATGCTGGATACTCTTCATTTTCATATCCCTCTTAGTTTTCAGAGTACATCCAAACTCAAGTTGATACTGGCAAAGGAAAATTAGCTCCTGGCTTTGATTTTGAAAAGATCGTTAAAAATATGTTCACCAATCAAGACCGGGATGGAAATGGTAAAGTTACTGCTGAAGAATTCAAGTTGAAAGATCAAGAGGCCAAAGAGGAGCACGATGAACTGTAAAGATAAGGAAAAAAAAAAAAAAGAGTCCTGAGCTGACCTACTGTTCAAACATGTGTACCAGAAGGAGTTTTGGCAAGCATGGCTTTGGAAGGAGAGCCCTCAGATAGCCTGTGTCTGCCTTTGCCTGGGTGTGGGTAGGCTGTTAAAATAGGAAGAGATTTTCAGTTGGAATTGTTAGATATATCTGAAAAAAGTGTTAAGTGCCTCAAGGTGGGGTGTATAGACAGGTAAGGAGTGTCCTGCTGTATGTGGTGCCATGAACCACATGTGTATGTGGGGTCTGCTTTTATGCTAAAGATCCAAGGTTCTCATTGAATAATACACGGTCAGCTGGATGGATGGTAGAGAGAAAACCTACCAAGTGCTTTTAAAAGAGTTTTAAAAAAACTTCTGTATCAGAAATATTTGTGTAGGAAAATGAATCAAAATATTCCCCATAACAATAACCCATAAAAATTGTCTGCTGTTGTTCCCAGCTCCTTTCAGAAGGCATGAGCAGTCTTCCCAGTAACTGAACAAACTCATAGGGATTTTTGCCAGCAGAAAATCTGATTTGCAAATTGATGAACATGACTGTGCCATTGCAGAATTTACATAAGCTGTGACTTAAATTAAACAGACCTAGAACTGATACTGTGTATGTGTTGGGTTTTTACCTCATGGAATAAAAGTTTCCTACCATTTGTACTGTGTTGAATTAGTATCCTTGAGTCTTGCTGGCAAGTGTTCCCATTAGTCATTCCAAAACCTTTCTATTTGCAACCTTATTTATAGTTTTGTTAGACATTAAATAGTAATGTACAGGGTCCAGATGCTGTCATAAATACTGGACAGAGTGGATTTTGCATTGGGCTTCTGTCTTCTGTTTTGGGAATTGATAAAGAAGTAAGTGCTTAGAGTTTAAGCAGCAGAGCAGTCTGCAGTGGCAAACAAACAGACAGGCAGAGATGGAATCAAGAAACAGGCCCATCTGTTTGTGTGTGCTAACATTCTGGCCCAGCCCTCAACACAAAGTCAGCCCTGGGAGTGCTGCTCAGATTCTGTGACTTGAGACAGTCACCCGTTAGCTCGACAAAAGCAGCAGAGCTGCTCAGTACTAATTACATGAAACAGACCCATTTTCTGTAAGGCCGTGGGATCCCCCTCAGTACACAGCATGCAAAGAGCACAAACACATAGAGTGAGACACTGTCAAAGAGGAGTGGGAAGGGAGTTGTGTTTCCATTATAAGCTTTGTGTCTAGTTTCTTGCTTTCCTTGATCTGTACATGTGGGATGTAAGCTCCCTGAGATGCTCTTTCTAAAAATTTGTATTTCAGTTGGATGAAAACATTCTGTATTGGTTTTTAATGCAGTTCTTGCAAAAAGGGCAGTGAAATATTTTTTTGAGTTTGATACCATTAAATGTTGGATAACTGATCTTTTTGTTAAATAAAATGTTGATCAACTATTACTTTTAAACTTTGTTGTTTTTTACCCCTGGAGTTTTGGTGTGTTGGGACTGTGAGTTGAAGCAGATACCCTTCCTGCAGCTCTCTTCTCTTGTACACAGCAGGCTTACCCTGAATATGTTCAACACTGCTATTAATGTTCAGGAAAAATATTTTAAACTATGATAACGGATGATTTTATACCAGATATCAAAGTTGTGGATATCAGGGACAGGCACTTCCATTCCGAAGTTTGGGTCCAGAATGGCTCCTTACCATCTTGTGAAGGCGGCTCTCTCAGCAGACTGTTTTTCCCTTTTGCAGGGAAGCAGGTTGCTCACTTTTTGCTGTGGCTCAGATGCAGATCCCTTCTGTGTGCTGACAAAGCTGAGAGGAGTGGGAAGCAAGTTGTGACTGGAGTACTACCAGAAGCAGAAATCAGTGTGGAAACAGCTCCTTACTCTGTTCTCATACGTACCCCCAAAAGACCAAGTCTGTCTTGTGGATATCCCCCCTCCTTTTGGGGGGATGGAACAAAATGATCTTGAAGGTGCCTTCTAACCCAACCCATTCTGTGTCATCCTGAATTGTTTTGTCTGAGAAAATTTTAGTGAATGAACCCTTTTTTTTTGAAGTGCTTGTCAGTGATGGGATAACAGAGATGACTTTACCAGTGCCTCTGTCTAGGGTAAGTACATCTGAAATTCTCAAGCCATTGTTCCTTAGGACTTGGCACACATGGCTCATGATCCATGTAAAGCTGTTTTTCCTTTCTCATGTTTTTCCTTCAAGAGGAAATTTTTGTTGCCCTCATCCCTCCAAGCCCACAGGTTGCCATTTTGGAAATCAGAATGCAACTCTGGGGCAAATCAAAGAATATGTGGAAAAACTTTCTATAAAATAATGATGTTTACACAGGGCATTGCCCATACCTGGCAGAGGCCAGGTCTGCCTGGCTGTATTAGGCTAAACTGTTTAAAATCCAGAATTTCTGATGGCTAACAAAGGAGACCCACTCCTTTTCCTTTTGGCAGTTATTGGTGTCTTCCTTGAGGGAAGGCTCGGGGCCACCTTCCTCAGCAAAGGGTTGCACTTAGGTTGAATCCTCCACCTATTGCTTCTCAGGGTCTGTGGCAGCCCCTAAAAGTGAGGGCAGTCTGCCTTGCCTGTTCACCAAACCAGGGCCTGGGGGTACGGGGAGCTGGCTGGGAAGTGAAATTGTGCTGGTGGTGGACTGGGAGAGGGAGATATTTTCTATGTCAAAGCAGGATAAAGTAGCTATTTAGAATTAATCTAGCTGTCTATTTAGAATTCATCTATTTATTAGCATTTTATTGTTAGTATTTAGAATTTGCCTATGCAGAATTTATCTATTAGCATCTACTATCTCCTAGTATTTAGAAGTTACCTATTTAGAATTATCTATAGAATCACTCTATTTTGGATTTATTTATTTCTAGAATTAGTATCTGGATAGCTTTTTACCATACTTAACTGAGATTACTTTATAAAAATAGATGATAACTCTCAAGGGTCATTAGGAACCAGATGTAACAGGGCTTAGCTAATGATGGGCTCTCCAGAACTCGGGCTGTTTCTACTCCTCTCATGAAACAGCCAGGTGCTATTCTCAGAGCTGGCAGCTGACTGCTGTTAGGAAAGGAAGTTGCTGGCAAGGCAGGGTTGGCAACTGGTGACTCAATTGTCAGGGGCACAGTGGAAAAGGAACATGGGTGCGTACCCAGAAAGACCCAGGTATTTATGAATATTTTATTTCTGTGTGATTTTTGTGTCCTAATTGGATAGCAATACTTTTTGCTGTGTAATTCCATCCATGTCCGTGTATAACAGACATTATAGTTAAATCAGAATTTGCAGCTGTTGAACTTGAATATTATGTTTTTCTTTGTGAAAAAAATATTTGGATTTTCCTTTAAACTTAAAAATGACATATTTAGCTAGTATGGGGTGCAAGTTTTTAGCTCAGTTCAGTGCTGTGAGTGTTTGACAGTGAGAGGACATTTGAGCTGGCTGCAACACCCGCTAAGAGGAGGATTCATTTTCAGCTAAATAAAGGTCCCAAATACTTAACCTTGGACATCTACTACAGACAGAACAGATATTGTGAGTAGAGGAAGAAAAAATAGTAACATTCACTTAATTTTGTTTATTCCTTTCTTTTAACTTTAAATATACTCCTTTGGCTATGGGAAAATGATGGGATATGGGAAATGCATATCTTTCTTTCATATCTGTCTTTCTTTCCAAGCTAAATAATAAATACATTTTTAGAGCTGCAAAATGTTTCTAGTTAGAAATTTTATTTAGAAAGACATACTACTCAAAACATTTCTTTCTTAAAGGAGAATCTTGATAGCAATTCCAAGAATTAGACTAGCTGGAGAAGGATGGCTTAATCTGTAGCTGTAGAGTTAATTTTGTTTGCAGTTAATTTTGTTCATGGTTTTGGAGAGGCAACTGATAATACAAGTTCTAATTTCTAGCCCACAGTCTAGTGATAAAACAATGGGATTTTGATAAAGTGGAGGAGGATATTTAAAAATGCATCTTGTGTTTTCCCTTTACTAATTCATAAGCAAGAGTTATGGTTGGCAGTGGGATGATGAACAGACAATGATAATCTGTGCAGCACAATGCAGGTTTTTTAGTCTGACCTCCTGGTTCAGGTTGTTTGCATAAGTAACTGTTTTTCTATAAAGCTGTATGAATGGCATTTTAAAAAGTAAATTATTTGGCATGGAGAAACCCCTTGTACAGCAATGGGGTTCTGTCAAGTAACTGCAACGTGGCTTAATTGCTTTCAAGTCCTAGAAAAGGTTTACTGCTCTAGCAGATCCTTAACACAGGTTCTGAGACTAACAGGATTTAATGACAGGAGAAAAGTGTGCTGGAGATCTTAACTTACCTGCATCTTTGTGGAAGGGCAAGAATCCTTTTCTTTAAGTGCTTGTCATTATGGACTGAACATTTGGTGACTGAACATTCATTGTCCACCTGCTTGGGGGTGAGATTGGAAAATTTTCCTTACATAATGCTTGAAAGATGGTGGTTGCATCTGAAATCCTCTACCAGTTTTAGATGTCCATGTAGTTGGAAAGGCATCTCATTGCCTTCTGATGTTGGTGGTTTTTTTTTTAAGTTGTGGGTTGAATAAGATCATCATTGTGCTGAAGGAGTGGTGGCTTGCTCACCTGCTGAGCGAGGCTGAGGAAAAATTCTGGAGAGAGGATCAATGAGTCTATGTGTATCCTGAGGCAAGTTTGATGAAAACATGGACACTTTTCCCTTCTCAGAAACACTGCACAGAGAGACCAGAACTGTCCCCCTCCTTTTCATGGGTGCTGGGATACTCAGGGAAATCCATTACACTTGTAGTCAGGATGCCAGAGAGTGTTGCTGACACATCTTGTGCTGTGAAGCTGTGACTATCAGCTACACCTCACATTCTCTAAATTTTAGCTGTTATCTGTATTCCAAAGATAAACTGCCTGTAAATGGAAAACTTTGTCCCAGTGTCAACTTTGAGAGTAATGCCTGGTAATTAGACTCTTGCAACTAGAGGCTGGTTGAGTAAACAGTGCATCCAAACACCTTGATGTTTTTCAGAAGGCCTTTGCCTTTTGGACTTTTGTTTGGCAGCTATGGCAAAAGAGCCAGCATGATTACATGTCTAAAAAAGCTCTAAACCCAAGATTCCCTAACCCTACTCCCCCCGCCCTCCCCCAAACTGGAACATTAGCCCAGCTAATGTAAATTCTGCAGGTGCCTAAAACCCCAAATGTGAACTGTTAAAGAAATTGTGTCTGCTGAGCTCCCCTGGAAAAGCTGCAGCATTCCCCAAATCCTTGTTGTGCCTGGGCAGTGCAGGCCAATTCACTGGGTGGGCAGCTCATGCTGATGCCTGTGAGCAATCACATGTAGCATAGCCCTGCTTGTCCTGCCCACGCTGCTGAAGCTGCAGTGCAGGCACACGGGAGGCTGTAGGAAGGCTGCTCCCTTTCTCAGTTTTGCCATGACCATCTTGCCCTCCTTCCTGCCCCAGGGAAATGGAGGAGACAGGGAGAGAGGCCACAGGGACTGGGCCAAACTTCACACCCAGTCCCTGTGTCCGCTGACTCAGCAGCTGTCACTGCTGCCTTCAAGCTCTCCCCATATTTTGGCTTTGGCTGACAGGCTCTTAGCAGCTGTTGCTCCCATCTCCTCCTGTCCCTGGCACTGCCAGGGTGTTTTCAGCTCTTCCAGTTTGATGCTGACACCCGAGTCATGCCTCTAGAATGGAAGGCAGCCAAGGCACAAGTGTTCAAGATCCTCACTTTTGTTGTCCTACTGGTTTTCTTCTCAAGGCTTCCACCTCTGGCCTCCTGGCTGCCCCTGTGTCAGGCTTAGGAATTGCATGACTGTAGGTTTTGCACAAGGACATCATCCCTCAAACACTGTCTGTTCAGATGCAGGCTGGAATTTCTAAAAGGTCCCTATGCTCAGCAGTTCCCTGATGGCACAGCATGTGCAGTGCGATCTGTGAAAGGATGCTCGCACTACCTCAGACTGTGCCTTGAGCCTCTGCCCTGCATTCAAAACACAGGGATGATTTAGTTTCATTTTACTGCAGAGGAGGTGGGATATGGAAACTATCTTCTCTCTTCCCTTCTTGGAAAAGTTCTAGCAGGGGTAGTAACACATGTAAAGCTGCTGATTCAGAAAAAATGTGTCTGTGATACCAAGTCAGGATTTTAATAACAGACAACAGGCTGTAAGGAAAGAGGCCATTTCTTGAGATGTGTTTTAGTTCTGGTGGAAGAGAATGCGGATCTAAGCTCTCCCACATTTTCATTACAATTCCTCAGGGAACGGAAGATGGCACAGTTTCTGCTCTGTATAAAAGAAAGCAAAAGGGAACAATGATTATATTGCACATTAGGGGAGTTGTATGATTTGCTGTCTTTTATTAATGAATAGATTTAGTACAGCCAAGACCTCACAGGAGCAGGGTCACAACATCATCTTTAACTTATCCTGCAACATATCCGAGCAAGCTTCCGAAATTGTAGCTGTATTAAGCTGTATCACTCTGTACATGATGCTGAGAGGTGCTATAATGTGCTCAGTACAGGGGAAATACTTCCTGGAGAGTTTTTTTGTGGTGAGGGTGGTGAAACTGGCACAGATTGTCCAGAGAGGTGGTAGATGCCCCATCCCTGGAAACATCCAAGGTCAGGTTGAACAGGGCTCTGAGCAGCCTGGCCTAGTTGAGGACGCCCCTGCTCATTGCAGGCAGGCTGAGGACTATCAGCTTGTAAAACTATCTGTTGTTACAAAGATGAGAAATTTTATCTCAGACACACTGTGTTAAAATATCCTTCACCTTTCACAGAGGATAAAGGAACAGTAAAGAATAGAGAATGTTTTGCAATGATGCAAAAATATGAAGAAGAAACACTTTGCCTGAATTGGGTGAATAAAAGCATTTTTACTGAAGAAAAATATATGTATGAAAAACTTGTGTGAAATTGTGTAGCATATGAGTCAGATCCTTCAAAATACAGCTGAGACTGAAATGTCTTTGAAAAGGCAACAAATGCACACTCTCTTTACAGAGCATTTACACTTTCAATTTTACAAAATAGCCATGTTTTCTAAAATGCTCCTCTGAAATGCCTGATTAAAAAGGACAGTGAACCACAGTATCCCATCAGCAGCAGTTTATCACATCTATAAATCCAATTTAGATCTCGTTATAACAGGAGTATGAGACAATAAAGAACAGTGTAACAGCAGTAAAAGGAGCTTGTAGTTGACAATTGATACCATATATATTCCATAATACCAAAATGAAGATAAAAGTTTTAAATTAAATCAAACAGTTCCATAAATGAGTAATAAACACAACTAAGATAGCACATGTGTGCTCTTCAGTCCAGTTGCCTCCTGAAAGGAATGGAGTGACTTGAGACTGCAATTTACAGGATTTTCTGTAGAATGGAGTTGGCAACTTCCAGGGATTCATCTTTCACCAAGACAATATCATAAGAGTCCATGTATTTTTCCAAAAGCTCATCTACCTAAGTGCAAAAGGGATGAAGAGAAAGACCCCCTTAGTTATATAAATAATTATTTAAGGCATTTTTGTCATTAAAATATTGCCCAGTCTTCCCACCAAATTCTAGGAATAAGCCATGCAAATAATGTATCACTCCTACAAATGAATTCCACAGGAGGACAGAGTAGGAGTGGCCTGACCTAAAGTGCATTCCAGGATATAATACCTCATGTTTATTCCAGAATCTCACACATAAAGATACTGAAAGAAGAACTATTTCTGGAAGGGCAGGGAGAAATATAAAACTGAAGTTTTCTTTCTCCTCAATGCAAATGGATGTTCATTATAACTTAGCAAATAATCAGTTGACTGTCACTTAAAAGCACCAAAAAGTAAAAAGAAGAGAGGAGAGACTGCCTGGATTTGTTAATTATTTGTTATAATTTTTCTCAATTATCATTTCAGTACTGAAAGGAGAAGGAGCCACAGGAATTTAAGAGAATTAATTTTTATAACCTCTGAATTTTACTTCTCTAGGAAAACCTGTTTGGAAGTAGTTTTGTATATAAACCAAGGCAATATATATATTTGTGGCTCTGAAAAATCCATGAAAAATGTTTGAAATTTCAACCCAAATATAGGCTAAACACTTGGTTTGATAACTGAATATGGTATATTATAACAAACTTGTTTATATCTCTGAGTGTTTCATTCAAAGCTTACAAGGTTATGTAAGGCTACTTACTTTATCATTGAGATAGCCAATCTTAAGAATGTGCTCAACATTTGCTACTCCATCTGCCATACTCAAGTCTCCTTGAGAATCACCCAGCAGTATGATATTGCTGTTGTCTTTTAGCTGTTTGAAATACTCTGTGTTCTTCAAGGCACCATCATGTTTGTTGTAAACGTGAATCAATTCTCCTTTAAATCCTTTTAATATTCCCTATTGAAAAAAGCAACACTGAAGTTATTTCTGGTTCTATTCAGGCAGGACAGAACCTAGAAAGAAAGAGGCGATGTTACTGTTGAGCCAAGATTGAACTACATCATCTGTGATGATGAACAAGATCAGTTAGTTTAGAGTAATGTCAAGGCTGTGTGACAGCACAGTCAAGAGCAGGCAGTTGATTCTCCCTGCTTGGAGGTGTGTACATATCTATGTCTCTCTCTGTATATCTGTTTTGTAGTGTGCATAAATGGCTACTAAATACCACAAACAGTGTGGTATTTATCAAACACATTTGATAAGAATGTGTTATCCCATACGTACATTTTCATCAAAATCCATGAAATTGGAAACCACTTTGACATTAGAATGGTAGACCCCAGCCTGGTGGATTACTTCCTCAAGAATGTCGCCAATCCCAGCAGAAAATATGAACACAGGAATATTATGTTCACTGAGTTTATCAAAGAAGTTCTCATACCCTTCTCTGCAACACAGAATGCAAATACAAATCAAATATCAAATAAAGAAAGCTAAAAAAAGTCTGAGTTTTTATGAGACAATCACATTATCTTTGGAAAAGAATTAGTATTTCCTGAGCACTTTACTAATTACTTCACCTTTTTAGGTCAGCAAGAATTACCAACCTAACACAATGTGTTTCTTACAAACACATGTTTGCAAGAAACTGCTGCATCAAGCTGTTTAGTCTTGGTCTATATAATTTTTCCCATGAAACATCTAATCATGTTTTAAAGATTTAAAAACACTTGCCCCTCTCTAAGTAGTCCAGAACAAGCAAACAGTTAGCAGAACTCACTCTAGCTACTATCAGGCTATACATCTCCTTTCAATCTTTGTTGCTTAAATATGTGACTTTCTATAGGGTCATTACTATAGAACAAGTTTTGTTTTTAAATCTTGACAACATTTATTGTTGTTCTCTCCTGACAATTTTTTTGTATTCAGTACCCTATGTATAGTATTCCAGGAACAAATAGTATTATCTCTACATGCTTTCTCCATACAGACATAGATTGGTAGAATTATACATTTTAAAAAAGTATTGTGAAAGTTCTGGAAATAATTTTAGCTTGTGGATGAAGATTCTATCAACATAAACTTAGGTAGAGATTGGCTGCTTGTCTGTTGTACAAAAAAACAAGGATTCACTCAGTGTTATAAACAAATACTTCTACAATTTAAGTTCTAACATTCTGTTTCAGTATTCCAAAATTTACAGACAGTTTTAGAGGGATTTCAAAGAGAATGTACAATTTGAACAAGGATTTTGCTGTCTTTTAAACTCGCCTTCAGCCATAGAGGAAGAACAATATTTAATACAATATATGAAACATGTTCCTCAAGTGTTTCTCAAAGGGATTAGGTTAAACTTTACATTGCTCTTAAAACAAAAAGGATCACCAGTGCAATTTAAAGAGGACGAAAGTCTACAGAAATTAAGCTTGTAGGGACTAAAGAAAGTTCGAGATATCTGCTTTATATCATGACATCACTGTCTGCATTTAGATACAGCACAACAATTAAGTGGGAGCATGAAGAACTCAATGTGGTCCAAGATTAAGGTGTCATATTCTCAGGAACATGTGTGGTTTTTTTGAATTTCCCTTTTCTTTTTTTCTCCTCCCCCCAAAACTCAGGAAGAATCTACAGAAAATGCTCTGAAACAGACTGATATAATTCAAATCAAAAGGAACTTACTTCAGCATAACATCAGATTCCCTTACAATTTCTGCAAACTTGTCTTTCTGTAAGCCTTGTTCAATGAGTAGTGCATGAGATTTATGGTACCTAGGACATAAACAAAAAGGGGTGAATGTTACTTACTAAGGTTCACCTTTCATTAAATCCTGTGCTGAAAAGAATCCTGTATGGTTAATTCTTGCTTATTCAGGTTAAGAGCAAAATAAAACCAGTTCTACAAAACTTTAAGAGATTAATTCAGTTAGTGTGCTAAGAGCTAAGTACTGTCATTAATTTGCTTTTAAAAACTTACTAAATCTAATCTCAGTACAATCTGAAAATAGGAGATGTCTCTTACCATTCTACCATATATGGGTATTTCTCTTCAATGGTGAGAGCTGGATCAATTTCAATGGCATAGTAGGTTTCTTTCAGCTGCAATAACTGAAGGGAAAGAAAAACCATCAGATGTTTAAAGTATTTCATAAAATACATTGGTATTTGGTCTAAGCAATGAAAATAACATTCTTGTCAGGGAATAATGACAGATGTCTGTACAACAAACCAAATGCTTGTAGGTTTTTTGTTTACCTTTTTCCGACATTCATCTGTGATGATCTTAGAGTTATCAATGATGTCTGGGAAAGGGGTGAAAAAAAGAGAGTTAAACAAGATGGTACGTTTCTTTTACTTTGCTCTACAACACTGTAAATGGCACAGATGACAATATCTGGTGACACACCAATATGCTTCCTCAGAACTTTTCTTACCAGCAACCAGCAAAAAGCACATCTATCTTCGTAAGTGTAAAGATGCCCTTCCCTTCATCTCTGAATTACAAGGTCAGTTACAAGCTTTTGAATCTGTTTCTTGAGATTTAATTGTTTCCAAAATAATCCTGAGGCATCCTGTATGTTTTAGAGTTCCTACTTCTCCTTGTTTGTTCCAAAAGACTATAACATAAGGATAAAATTGCCAAGAATTCTAAGGACTTCACTATCTGGTTCTTGCAGGTGTCAGGACTATGGGCTCTTGAGAAACAAAAGTCAACCATACCATATTTAGCCACTAGCATCTCAGAGTTCAAAACTTAATGCTTTAATCGTGAATGGCAATTTATCTGATTTAAATCACACAAGTTTTGATTAATATATATATACATAAAAACACAGTCACTAGAATACTTTGTCAGTAAAATTTACAGATTAGGTAACAAGTCAATATATAATCTCATTATGAAATAAATTGAATAGAAAATTAAAATATATAAAATATAGGAAAAACTAAAAGGACCGAACAAATCAATCTGTATTTAAAAAAAACAAAAGTACTCACTATGACAAGTTGGACATCTTTTTCCATTGTAGGAAAATCTACTTAATGTCATATCAAAATCTGTAATAATCTATTTAAGGAAAGAAAAAGCAAAACTGTCTTACAACATGGAGGAACAAAATAAAGAATGGCTAGAAATTCTGAACGATCAATAATAGTGGCAGCTGAGTAGCATGTGTGTCACAGAAGCCTCCCTATTCTATTGAGCCATTGTCATGGAAACCAGCATATCCCAGAAGAGTAACATTCTTTCTAACCAAACTTTTTTTCTCATTCCCTTGGTGATAATAATTCCTGAAATTACTAAGCTTCTATGCTTATGTCATTTACTTAACTAGTGTCTGGCTGAATTACATTTGAATCAACAAGGGCTATTAAAAGAGTTAACATGTCTAAGTTTTGGAGATTTCTTCAAGGTTGAATTCTATTATATATATAGATATTATTAAATTTTTTGGCATAGAGTAACAATCCCACAGTTGCTTTTATTCCAAACTGGTTACACTTTTACCTGAAGTTTGGCAGCTCCACCTTTGATGAGGCCACAAATAATCTCCTCTACTCTTGCTGGGTCCTTAATATGGACAGTCTTCTTCTGAAATTCTGGCATCTATGAAGAGTAAGAATAAAGATATAATTGGAGAGGAAAACTTACTAGGGAATAGCTGCTATCAATCAGATTGGAAGCTCTGCATCCGCAAACAGTTTTATGTGACATCAAGACATGGTCAGGACTGAAAGACATGAATAAGAAACAGAAAATACTCTGGATGTATTAATCAATGACTGAATACTGTTCTGTTTGCTTACAAAATCTGTTTTCATTTCCTTTCCTAATATCACCTTATTCAATAAGTTGACACTCAGAAAAGATCATTGTATTTATAGGAGAAAAGGGAGATATGAAGGAACAGGACATATGGGATCATCTTGTGATTCAGCTATGTCACTAGGAGATGGTAAATCTTAAAACTAACTCTTTGCAATTAATATGCTCTTAAAGTATCAGCAGAGATAAAGAAGACATCCATTGTTTCCTTGAGAGTGCTGATTGAGTGTCAGCTGTGTACTTCAATACAACAAGGCTGTGCAGTAATCCATCCACACTAGCCAGTTCATCAATTGCTACCATTACCTATTTCATTGCACACTTTTTCAATAAACATGATGTCACACTATATATTCCTTTTGGATTAAGTATGTTTCTTGAATGTTATCATAAATGCTGAATTTGGTGTAAAACAAGAAAAAAAACCAATAACCCAAACCCACAAAACCCCATTCTTCAAACAATTCCCCAAGCCTTTGTTTACTCTAAGAGTTTATCTTCCTACTTGCAGAATGGTAAATTAACTATTTATTTACAGGAATTTCCCAATGTAGCATTTATTTCCTTAATAATCATGTATAGACCCATTCTAAAAAAAAGGCATAGGACATTTGCAATCTAATTGGGCATTTATAAGTAGCAAGCTTTATTTTCGTTTATAAAACTTCAGAGATGATAAAGTGTTAGGAATTACATTTTTAACATTCTGATCCTTTAACCTTCCTTTTCATATAGCTAGCATATAATCTTTGCTGCAATGAGCTAATTAAAAAAAAAAAAAAAAAAAAAGGTGGGGGGGAGCTTCTATTTCAGGACCCAGAGTTCCCATATCACCAATTGTCAGTATAAGCCATGCAGAGCTCTTTCTTCCAACTCTTGATGCTAGTAAATATTTTCTTTATTACTAACAGCTTGCAGTCAAATTGCAATTTGGTTAGCACATAAGAAAAAGGTGGCATTTTTAAGTATTGCAAACATATGTTTTTGTAAGGGAAAAGACACTTGTGTGCCAGACAGAAGAGGGATCTGGACATACCTTGAAATATCAGCTCTAGTCCACTCTGTTCTCAGCTGGGAGCAAAACATTGCAGCTACATCCTTATCAGATGAGCAGAGGCTCATCTAACTCATTCTTCAAAACCCCCATTCACATATTCCTCACTTTCCTCAACTACCTTTATGTTTAGAAAAGTATGCTTTATGTCTAATTGTCCTTACTGTAATTTTAAGTCATTCAACTTGGAGAAGAGTGTTCTTTTTCTCAGATGATCACTCGATAAATTTTTCCCTTCTGCCTGAACGTAAAACCCCAGTGTTCTTCAATCTTCTTTTGCAGAACACAGTTTTCTGAATCTCTGATAATTCTTGATGTTGTCTTGGCCCACCCACTTGAACCATACTGTTTTTCCAACACAGCATCCATGACCATGGGAAAAACCTTTCTGCTCTGGTCTGACAAGGCCTCAGTTGAAGGGCCACTTTGGCCCTTGTCTTCAGGTAGCATCTTTGCACATAAATTAAAATACATGCCCTGTGCTAGCAGTAGTATGGTGAGAACGATTCAAGTTCAGTTGGTAATGACCAATTATTCTTCAAAATGACTCCTAGAAAGAAACAGGTATTAGTGCAAAGTGCTAAATTTTGCTTTTAATCTTTCTGGATTATATCTTTTCTTCCATGTCAGTGCTCTTACCTTTCAGTATAACAAATAATTCTAATCCCCACTGTGCTTACTGCTACTTTCTGGCTGATATACTCAAAGACGCTGTTGAAAGCAGGAATCTTTCTAAAACTCTGATCATGAGTCTCTGATAAATTTCCAAGTTTTTCTACCCATTCAAAAAGTTTCACCTATACCACAGTATCTTGTCAAAAATTCTGTCCTGAACAGGGTATTCACTACTTCCTTCCTTTATAAATCTCTAAAAGAAACAAACAGTATTAATTTCATCTTGATTAGAAGAAAAAGCTTTTCCTTTCCAATCCTTTGGCAAAGACATTTTCTGTAAAAGTGGCATCTCCTAAGCCAATATCCCTGAGTTCCTTGTGTTACTACAGTGCCTTGCTACTACTTCTTTTAGCACAGCAAAGTCACAAAAAGTACATTAGGGCTGACTTCCAGCTCTCAGCTACTTCCCAGGCTGGGAGTCATTGAGAAAGCTAATGAGTGTTGACAAGAAATAGAATTCCTGAAAGATATCCATTAAATAATTCACTAGTCTTTTGAGATATACCCTTACAAAGCATTTATTTACAATTAGCAACACATCTAGCTTCACAAAACAAAATATTAATAATCTGTAACTTTGTAAAGGTGCTTTAACTTATTTCTTTTGAATGTTATATGATGCTGGTAAACAAAAGTAAGCTTTCCACTTTTTCTGCATATACCATATTCTTTATAATGAAACACAAAGCATTTTGACTTTGGACATTTACCAAAGCACTTTGACTGGTTTGGTAATTTTTTTTTTACTGTAAATTGACTAATTTAATTCCTTTAACTTTCAGCAAATTGTATATGTATTTTTAGATTTGGAGTGCAAAAATTAAACAGTGAAATCTAATTGCATGCTTTTCTATGAAGTAGTTCAAACATTATTTGGTTTACTTAGATACTAAGCAACAACTAATTTAAACAGATGTTGGGGTAGATGGAGAGATCAGAGGAAGGGACTGGATGAGGAAAATTGGATTGTTTGGTACTGTTTCATTTCAAACTGAGCCCTTTCGTAAGTTTCTGCAACAACCTGAGGAAAAGTCTTGGTAAACACTTTAGTAGATCATGTTAAACAAAGCATTGCTTAAGATTTTAAGTATGACGAAAGCTTCCTGCTTTGATGTTGTAAACTCCTACTCAAGATCAGTTTATAAAATAAATTTTTTCTAACACACTTTTCATTTTGCACACGAATTGGTTGAAGAGTATTTTAATTTAGGGGGGGGAAAGTTTTCTGCAGCAAGTATAACCAAGACATTTTCAGTCTCACAGGCACTTTAAATGGAAAAAAACAAGTCTACATTATGGATGTGACATCTGATAAAGCCTCGGACAAATATGGTTAGACAAAATAGCCACTTTCCCCATCACTAGCTCCTTGTATTAATATTTGCAACTGAACATTAAGTATTTAACTTTTCTTTAGTCTTCATCATTATTACAGTTTAAGTAAATTAAACTGTCTAAGGAATGTGTAAATGAAACTGAAACTGCAGCCACCAGTTTTCTGGCAAACTGTCTCCTTCAATGTTTTACACTTCTGCCCAGTTTAGTCGCTTCATTGTTGCATATTTGCCATTCTTCACAGTTGAAAGAGAAAAGCAGATTCTAGTTGGAAAGAACTGATAAGACAGATGAAAGAGCAAATGATGAAAAGTTCAGTAATTTGATAAAATTTGTGTTTCTATTTACTCTTGAAGAAAATTTTAGCAGTCAGTTCAGTGTGCACATAAACCTCCCAAAACTCTCATGCACCAGTTGGCTGGGATGAACGCAGATAGAGAAGCAGCCAACCAAAAATCTCCACAGCACTTAACCAAGTCAAGAAAGCCTTTCAGAACCAGGAGCTTCTACATACAGAACTAAAACTACATAAGCACAGGAAAAGGAATTCATAATTCATTGTGACACCTGAAAGTACATCATGTTAAATCATTTAGTGATTTATTACTATTTATTCTGTCATTATAAAAGTGTGAGAAGAGTTTTTGCTTTCTTACCAAGAGCATCTGTATGCTACTGAATAGCTCAGAGGCAGGTGTGTCTTGAAATATATGTATGACGACTCCCAAAGGTAATTTGTGGTTGGCATATACAATGGCCACAAATACATTTTAGTTCCTAGTCTCTGACATTTTTAAGGAGCCTTTGAGAGAAGGAAGATCAAAACTGAAAAAGATTATTTTAAAGGTTGAGCTTAGTTGGATTTATGAAAAGGAAAAGAATTATCTGTTTGTTTGTGATAGCAGGTAACTAGAATAAGGATGTAGGAAATGATTTTGTAGCTAAGAATGTTATGGTCATACCTTGAGGAACCAACAGTAATGGATTCACGCAGGTTTGGAAATTCCCCAGTCCTACAAACCACAGAATGGGTCATTTACAACAAGGATAGTTCTGAAAATTACAAATCTATTTAGTACATGAGACATGCATTTGCGTAGCTGGGTTAAATAAGGAGAAGTATTTGCCATAAAGACATTTGGATTCTAATTTTGAAATAAAGTTCCTTATATACAACTGGATAACAGAAATACAAATAGAACTGCTTTTATGTATCCAGGTACTGCTAAATACATAAGTTGTCTTCTTAGTATGTGAGGCAGCGTAGCGTGTAGCTAAGTGCATGCTGTGTCAATTTGATTATAAAACAGAAGCTGGTGATAAGACCTGTCATTCATTTTAGTGATCTAAGTGAATTTACAGCTGCCATTTTAGGCATTTCCAGTTAGGTATCCCAGGAAATTAATAACTTATTATATGATTGTGTCCACAAGGAGTAATGTCATGTTCTGGAGCTAGGATTATACTGAATTTTTCAATCTACTGAATGTTAGAGGTAGAGCAGTTGCTTTCCTCCCCCTACCCAGTAAAACAAATCCCAGTGATTAAAACAAAAATTAAAAAATGTCAAATAAAAAGCTCCATATAAAGGACAACTGAGTGACCTTTTATTTTCACTGTCAGTAATTTTAAGTAGGGATGGATGAGTTGATGAATTACTTGCTATCTTAACTACATAGAGATATGGCTCCTTTCACAATCAACTCTAGACACAGAGCCTGAAATATTAGTAATAATAACTCAAACTGTAGGAGGTTGTCATCATAAGTCTGCTAAGTAATGCTTTGACGAAGGACATAAAAACCTGGTGCAGAGTATTTTTATACTGATACCCTGTAAGCCTACACTACTTGGCAAATAACAAGTTTTCTTATTTTACATAGACTCATCTAGTATGGAAGCCTCCCAAAAACCAAATCATTGCTAAGAAAACACCCTAGATTATGGGTGGACAAAATTTTATGAGAACTTCTCTATAAATCTCAATGATTGACAGTGTACTTTGTTAGATGTCAGTAATTCTGAATCACAGTAAGAACTGTTCTCACACTTGTAAATGTATTAAAAATATTCCACAAAATTTCAGATTACCATAATGTCATAAAAGAGATAGGGCAATAAATAAGATCTAGCTGTAATGCTATTGACAGTACGTGAATTACAAATATAACACAATTTCTGTTTTCCTACTTTGTTGGTAAACCTGACTTAGACTAGAGTAGGTTTAAAACCTGTTATCTTTTGACAGAGAGAATACACAAGGGTGGGCTGAAAGGGAGAGAGAACTATCCATGTTATTTTTGAGCAAGGCAAATGGAAATCAAAGTGATAAATTGGATAGGGGTAAATTTATTTGTAAATTTTATTCTAATCTATGGTGATAGCTTTCAGGAAAGAAAGTATAAACCAAGACTAAATGACACTTATTTTGGGAATTACAGATGCCCAATTTCAAGGTCTTAGAGTAGCTATCACATATATTCACTTATGGACACATACCAAAAAAGGCAGGGCATGGCAGCAGTGATAGCTGTGAAATTTGATACCTAGAAGCTACAGAAAACTGTTTTTGGTGTTCTTGGTAGAAGAAAGTAACAGTTTGGTGAAAAAATAAAGAAACAGGGCACATTCCTTAATTTACATATTATTTTCAATTTTTTTTCTAATATTACAGAACATTACTTGCTCTAGAACAAAAAGCTTTTGAAAAGCATGCAAGCTTCTCCATGTAACTTCTGCTACTTGAGTTTCAAGAATCGGGGAAGCCATAACAAAATCCACAGAATGACACTATGAAGATCTTTTCCTCCATATGTTTATGCTCATATATGTATAAAGCAAGACTACCCATAATTCAGACAATTTGAATTCTGGCCCATGAGTGCAACAGAGGTTTGTTTCTCTTAGCTGCCCCAGCTGTTAGTAGGCTAATATTTTAGACAGACACATCAAAAGGTACTGGACGTGAGTGTAATCATACAAGTCACTCCATTATGTGCAGGTTGTCAGGAGAAATTCAATAGTTATCAGGCACTCTGCTAGTATAATCTGAGTTTAGGACAGAGACTCACTAATTTATAATTCCCAAAACCATAATACATTTTATATTCAGATGATGCAAGGTCAAATACGGTAAGAAATCCTTAGTAACTAGTAATTACCGAATTACTATTTTAGTAGTTCTTCCAAGAAATAGCCTTGGGAATACTTTGCTAACATAGCTATTATGAGAATGAAACAACAGAACACTAAGTATCTTCACAATTGCTTGATAATATGCTATAAAACTAGATACCCAGCACAGGTTATATGAAATAACTGAAAATGGGTTCACTGCCTAAGCTATTTTAAGACATGGAATAGGATGCACACTAAAAATAATTTTTCCTGGTTTATTTTATTTATTTATTCCAATCTTTTTATACTTAATGTGCTGGGTCCTGATAATTAATTTGGGAAAAAAAACCTTATAAAAATCTGCAGAGAGTGCTTTCACAGAAAACATGACAGTAGTGTTTCCTCTTGTGTTTTTAAAGGAGAGTACCTGTGCGTTGAGCTTAGGGCACTCCTGATTCTTCTGTCCTTGATTTTGTCCTACTGCAACAGCATAGGTGGCAAGCAGAGTCCAGAGATGCAGGGCTTGCATGCAGGCTGCCAACAAAAACCAACCAAATCCTTTTAAGAATTGGTCTGCTATATTATGTGATCTTTCTATTCCTGCTGTATAAAATAAAAGCCAACATGCATGGTACATAATGACATCACTGTGAAAATACCAACACTTCAGAATAGTCTGATACATATTAAAGAGTAGAGGAACATTTACGCTGAATTAACTTATTCAATGAAAACCACTAAGTATACTTATTTCTTTGATGCTGTTGCTCATTCTATGCTATCAAATTTTTTATTTAAAAGTACAGTTTTTTAGGTTTTTTCAGAGTCACAATTAACAACTGTAAGTAAGCCCTCAGCTCATAACCTTGGCTTAAAAACACAGGCAAGAAGACAAGTCAATACTGCTGACAGAAGCTGTGCACACTTACCAGAGGGTTTTGCAGGAGCAGCTGCAGAAGCAAAAGAAAATTCCTCTTGCTTGAGACACACTAATATAGCAGCACAGGGTGCAGTTGAGGGCGTTTCCAAATACAGCCTGACTAATCCCCGTGCAAAACCCCAGGGTCCTGTGACGCACGTCAGCAATGCACAGCAGTTTGTTATGCTCAGCAGTACAGCCCGACGGGCTTACAGATCATCAGCTGGTTCACCAACAACAAAACCTTTGACCTTCACTGAATGACAGCTTTCATGGATGCAACGGGCAAATTTGGGCTGCTCGAACAAAGGAAGGCACTTGTTTTTCAAAGCAGAAGTTTACTACTTTCTTACTTTTTAGCTCTTTTATAGAATCTTTCCAAGTATTTTAGGGTTTCCTGTCATATAGTGCCACAAATTTCTTAGAGCTTCATTGACATGATTTCACTAATGTTTACTAGGTAGCACACATTTATTCATGTAGAAGGAACAAATTAATTAATTAATCTTTGTTTTGGCTGCAGTTATCTGTGTGATAATGAAACAGGAAATCAAGGAGCCTTGTTTGTCAGGATTTTTGAGAGACAAGGCAACTCCACATAGTTTTAGAAGTTTGTCATTAGGCATGGTGCCTGATCAAAGACTGTAACTAGGTGACATAGAAGCTGGATTAAAAAGAAATATTTTTTTAGAATGAGGGAATGAAGGAACTACTGTCTAATCATATTTTACATTTTGAACTTGTGTAAATGCTTGTAAGTGTCACGCAAAGCTGACTATTACAGCAGCAGTGCAAGCTTCTCTATACTACTCCATAACTCATGTTCAACCTCAGGTTTATGATCCCTGTTTCAGGATGCCTGGACTGACCACCACCATCAGGCCAATTCATACATGCCACCAATGTGACCAGTGCAATCGTCAGAGCTGAAGCAAGGGCAGGATACAAGTGTAGCATGTAGAAAGCCTGTAATGCTACAAAACACTGCCAATAGCAGAGCTCTAATAGAAATTCATTAGTTATGAAAATTTCTTTCAAAGGAGGCTGTGCTTTCTACATTAAAAAAAAAAAGCCAACAGACTTTCTAAATGGTAAAATAGATCCGTATCTTTTGTGTCTGCATTCCAACTGTAGGCTACTATGTAGTCTATCAGGATTCCTCGGTGTATCTGACCTACATGTGCACTTTCATTTTGTTTTCAGAGATGTTCCCTGAAACAAAGAGGTGTTTCAGAGGTGTTCTGTTTGTTTTGAGCCAACAAAACAACTGAAGTGAATACTTCAGCTAAGACAAAACATACAACTTTAATCAACACTTATCCTCTTAGACCTGACCAGGATCTCCTTAAATATACATGTTAAAGTCTGCTGTATCCTGATGCAGCAAAAGAGTTTGAAAAATATGTTCAAAATATAACATAATCCCTGCAAGGACTGTATACAGTAAATTGAACTTACCTGGCATTGGTATTGCCAGGATTCATAGCTACCAATAAACTACTTATCACATTTGTACACTCTTATAATAGGTAACATTTAGAGAATTTTACTCTTCATAGTACTTTAATATAGGCAGCATGTTTTTCATTTATATTTTTATAATAATGTTTGGGAAACATTTGTATAGTGAAGCATCTTGAATAAATATGAATTATTTGCACAACAAAAAGCTGTAGCTTGTGTCCCTATTAGATTTCCAATGTTAAAAAAAATCTTATGAACAATTAAGTAAAATATGCTTGCCAGATGAATCATGTAGTTCAGGTAAGACATCACTTGATACATTCAGTTTGCAATGCACATGCCTTTGAGCTTTTATGTATTTCAAAGGTGACAATTATACTGATATATAAATGGGTCTTGTGAACCTCATAGATGAGGCTGGGATTTGGTGGGTCAGCAAGCTGGCCTGTTGCTATTCTGGTACTTCTCAGCTGTGATATAGTGAGAAAATTAATTCCAGTGCTGTCAAGAATATAAAGAAAGTTAGTTTCCTTTTCAGAAAGCTGGGGAAACAAAAACAAGGTAGTTTAAAAAATATTTTATTTATTTATTTTTTAAGATTAAAAAAAAAATAGTTACAGAAATTAAGTCCAACTCTTATAGACTGTTTTTGGTACACCAGACTAATTGAAAAGCATTCTAAATTAACTATTACAGCTTTAGTGAAAGCTCTAGAGAATGTTGTGAGCAAAATTTCTGTAAACATTAATACAGCCAACACCTAATTCTTAGAAAAACATCTACTCTATCTTTATCAACAGTGTACTTTCACTTTAATGAAAATGCCGTACGTGAAACTTCTCATCTACAAAACAAGACTGTCTTTACAACTCCAAGAAATCTTTGTGTACAACACTTTAATTACAACAGCTTTTACTATCCACATTCTATTACTGCTGATCTGAGTCTGTCGAGCATTTTGTTTACAGTGTTTAATGTCTGGTAAACAAGGAGTTAAAATGAACACTGATTTTTTTAAAGAGAGAGAAATAAACTCCAGCATAACATTTCTACTCTCAAAATATGGAAGGTCATTTAAATATATTTTAAGAATTGTGAATTTATATATAATAACTAATATATACACTAATATAATAAAATGATAACAAATGTAACAAAAATATCAACAATTACTAATAATTTTAAAATTATTAAATATGTATTAATTCTACATAAATAAAATATATAAAAATGTTAAATATAATTATTATTTATAAAGTTATTAATAGTAATAAATAGAAATATAATAGTAAATATAATGTAATAACTAATGAAGTTATTTCAACAGATAGATTAAATTTTAACATTTTCTCTTTGGCTGAGGGCCGTATCTTGACTACAGAATATTCTACACAGAAAAAGAGAGGAAAAAATGAACAACACTTAAAACACTAGATGATTTATAGTTTATATAAGACTGGGAAATGGTTCAACTTTATATGCTCGTGTGTTAGGTGAACTTGGTTTGTAGAGGATGCTCTTGAATATGAAGCACTACAAGTTTTAGTCTAAAGCAAAGAAAAGCTGGTTCTACCAGTCCTTCCACACCTGTGACCTAAGTTGCATCCATTTGTGGAAAGAATTAGCACAGGTATATTGCCTAAGCAAGTAAGCTGAGCTTTTTTTTTAACTAATAAATTGAATACTTCAACTAAACTGACATAAACTTTTAAAGATCAGGAAAGAGGTCATAGCTTTTTAAAATATTTCCTACAAAATTTAGAGGTGATTGAATCTTGTCTGCAGTGTAAACATTAGGTAGTGTCCTTTCATGAGCTTACTATCTTTTATTCTTGTTTAGTGACCCGACCACAACTGAACAACTTTTGAATACATCCTCACATATTTAGTACATTGCTCAACTTTACTTGAAAATACCTTGCTTTATTGTAGGGATCAATTTTAAACATTAAAGAACTGTATTTGTTATTTAATTTTGCTTTTGTAATAAGTTTACTTAGTATGTATTTTCCAAAACAGCCTACTTGATATAACCTCATGAGACAGGGAAAGGTACCTGAACCTTGCTACTCAAGTACCAAGACCAAGCAGAAGAAAGGAACCAATACAACCCAACTGTACTCAAATATGGTTATTATTCATGCCCTACTGAACTGAGTTAATGAGCAGCATAATGCTTCCAGGAATAGCTTTTTATATCTGTGACAATTACAAGGAAAGTAAGGTCAATGGTCAGTTTGATGAAGCTGGGGTAAATAAAGGTTTAGAAGGTTGCCTTGCAGGAATTTTGGATACCACTTATCTTTGCAGTAGAGGTTTGGTGTAAAAACCCATGCTAGCCATATTTACAGTTGGTATGTTGCAATACAGAACTATGATTTGTATATGAATATGTGTGTCTGCCATAGAGATCACTTGTGAGGAGTGTAAACAATTCTAAAAAGAAAGAGCCGGAACAGCACCTGTTATGAAAAAGTGCTAAGAACTAAGCTAAGAGCTAAGAACTTAAAGACTGAATTCAACAAACTGTGGTAAATCTAGATATGGATGACACATGGTAAGAAGGTGAGACACTTAACCTGAATGGTATCACAAGACATATTCAACAACTTTTTAATAGAGATTTTCTTGATCTGATCAGAGATCTAGCTTTCTTTACTGTTCATGAGAAAACTGGTGATTGTCTAATAGTCTGACCATTTATGCCTGTACTGAACACAAAGCTTAGTATCAACACACACACTAAAACACCTCTTTAAGCATTTCTTCTTATGTTTAATACATCTCTCTGATGAGAGAATAAAAGATATTGCAGCATCATTGTCCCTTATGCAGCTTCTTGTGCTCACAAAATCATTCTAAAAGAAGAGATTTCTGCTGGTGATAGATCAACAGACATTTTGAATCTTACAAGAGGATGAAGAACTAACAGTAACTAGGGTCTACATTTCCTGTATTTCATGTGATCCTGTCAATTACTAGTTTGGGAAAGAATTTAGTCTGAGAGAATATAGAAGGTACAAAACATAGAGAACAGTTCTATACATTCTGGGGTGAATGAATACCGCTCAGAATAGGCCTTTTTTTTCCCTCTGATTGTATGTTAGGGAAATCACCTCATCTCTGTGCTTAGTTACCATTCCCACTCTGTGGAGAGAATTAACCTTTATAACTGGCAGGCTAAAAGAAAAGGTATGTATTATTTAGTTATCAGTGAGTATCTGGAAATGATGAAGATCTTCAGTGATTTCTAATGAGTATCTTGAAAATACCACACCTACTTAGCCAAATTTGAACAGGTTTTTTTTTTTTTCTATCTTTATAGTTTCTCTCCTGCCCTTGTTAAAAAAAAAAGAAAGAATATAAAAATATTCTAAATAAGCAAGCTCGGATCAATACAATTTATCACATTACACTTAAATTTTAAACATATCTTCTAAAGCACTGGATCAAAAGAAGAACTCAAGGTTGTGACACCCTTTCATTGCTTGGCAGAAGGAAATGGAGGCTTTTTTCTTGGCCTTCATACATACATTTCACTGATGCCTATTCTCACCAGGGCTTTCTGGATAAAATCTTTATAAATCCATTATGAACTTGGAGCTTAAATACCAAAACTAGTTCTGGTTTCTCTACCTTACAGGGAATAGACTAGAACTGGAAAAGGCCCTGAGAAGGGCAGTAAGAATGAGCCATGAGAAAAGATTCATACAATGAACAGTTGAATATTACTAGAATTCCTTAACCTGGAAATTACAGAGTTGTTTAGAAAGGGTTAATAGGGAAAGATTGGTCACTGCCTCTTCCACTATAAAAGGTAGAGGTCATCAACTAAAATTAAGAGGAGGCAGGCTCAAAACAGTCAGCTGCAAATCATACAATTAGGTAAACTAGTAAAATGTACAACTCCTTTTTATTGATACTGAGGTTTTACACAGCCTTGAAATGCTACTGGGTCATAACATGAAAAAAAGGTCATCCAAAATTACACACACTGTCTCTGAAATACAAGCTGCTAGAGGAGAGGAATCATTGGAGCAAAAACATTCATGACAAATCACCCCTTTCCTATGCTTTCTTTGGGCCTCTGTTACAGACCATTGTACCAGTATGACCTAAGACTTCATGGAAGGCAAGTCAACACTCCATTTTTGTAACATGTAATGACAGGGAGAATAATTTTCTTTTCACGATAATGTTTATCTTAGTTTTAACTCCATCCTTCATTTTTCTTGCTGGTTCTTCTTCTGAGAACACAGATACAGAAAATTCATTTTTGACAAATAAGTTTTTGATTTGAGTGGTACTCGCATTTTCCTTTAATACTGCTATGGAATGTGTTGGAGTCTGCCTGTCTGGAAGATCCATTTCCCTCTCACGTTATACAGAATCTAATGCTTTCTTAAAGAATTCTTACAGGGGATGCTGCTGGTACAAATAATATTTCTTCAAAATACCTAGGCAAACAGTAGAATTCTAAGAACTGGCAGTATGTAAATATACTGTGGTACTGTTGTAGTTTGGCAATCTAAACTACTACAGGTACATTTACAAATTCTTAATTCTTAATTTGCTATCAGGTATGCAAAAGCTCACCTGGTATAATAAGGTAATTTTTATGAGCTATACTATTTTCCCCCCAAACTGTTCATTTGCATGTATACCTTCTATAATTAAATATCCTGTATATATCTACATGGACATGCATTGAAAGAACTTAAACAAATACTTGTTTCCCTAGAAGCTTCCCATGTAACACTATCTAGAATGGAATTTGCATTAAGGCCAAGGCTTGGACTGAAGCAGTTGCTGCTGATTCTCTTCTTCTCTTATCTGCTTCTAAGAAAAAAAAAAAAATCTGCTTAGATTTTTTTTCACTAAGTCGAAGAATGCTGTATCTAGATCAAATAAACTCTGACCCTTGAATAGTGGAGCTGTGGGACTCAGTTTGAAAGCAAAGTCAGCAGGACAAAGTTTAATCTACAATACATTACCAGACACTACATGTAAGAATGTAGTGCTAATATAATATTTCATTTAAATTACACATTGAGACTAATGAAGTTTTTAATTGTTAGGTGCTCTTTGATTACAAACCCTTTTTAAAAGTCCTTAAAAAAAAAATCCATTAAATCTAAAGATGTAATACAGCTACCAAACACTCCTTTTAAAGATAACAGACTGAAGCATCATGACTTAAGGCATGAAGGATTGTTTCAACTCCATGTCTCATTGTTTTACAGGTGTTTCTCACTGCTGGATCCATTGAAAGATGGATCCTTATTTCTTGTATCTCTGTGTACTTGGCATCTGGAAATGTTCAAAACCAACAGGTAATAAATACTACCACTATGATTCTTTGCCCTCTACTACTGATAAAGTACTGATACTGCTTTGTGCTAATTCCTACCCTTCAGTTTCATGGACAATTTTTCCATGGGAACATGCAGACCAAACTGAGGCTTACCCATCAGTGATACTCACTGCAAAGGCAGATGCAGCAGATAATATTAAGTGTTGCGATAATAGCTGATGAGTGAAAAAATCACATTTTTGGTCTGATAACTAGTAAGTTTCTGACAAAGAGGGAAAGCTTTAAAGGAACACAATTAATGGAAGATTTCAATGGTATTCATTCTCTCAGATTAAGGTGGAGCAAAACAACTCCCAGGTAAAAAAAAACCAAAAACAAACCACAAATAAACTTGGATGATTTCAGTGATCCAATTTGTAGAGCAGACAAACAAATCTTTATATAAGAGTGCAGGAAGGAAACAACAGTTAATGAGTAGGAAACAAGTAAGAACAAGCACATTTGAACAGGAATTTTCTTGGTGGCAAAACCAGCTCAGGAAGCCTGAAAGTCTGTATTCAGACACTTTCCAAGTCTGGGCTTTGCCCCAGCCCTTTAAAAATAAAATAAAAAAATTATTTTTTAAAAGATTGAGATATATTAAAGTAGAAGCCACATTTCCTTCTAGCAATAGGCATTATTGCTGTAATTTAGAGAACTGTTTTTTAAAATTACTTTTGTAATTTTTTTCTGAGGTAAGTAACTGCAATTCTCTTTTGTGGTATTAGTGAATGAAAATAATATAGTTACTTTTAGTATTTAAACATGGTGTCTTCTTTGACCTGTGTCCTGCAACCTTAAACATGTACTGAAATTTCTTCTTTTTTTTGGCATTCATATAAAGCACTCTTGATGATTAGCCAACTTTAAAAAATGCTGTGGAATTTTAATGGACGCTGATGTTTTTTTTCTTGAACCATCAGAAGCTCCACACAATCTAAGAAAGAGTTGAATAACAAAACAGCCACAGATTCCAATTTAATGGCACTCTGCCCATCAAGCTGCTGCATGATAGACATTGAACTAAAATTTTGCCTACTGCAATCATAAGTTCTCTGATGTTTTACAGCAGCTGACCCCTGGTGATTGATGACTTTTGGATGGGAGAAAGACTGACATCCAGCAACTGGTCAAGATAAGAGCTGTATGAAGACTGTGCCCCAGGAGGAAGCAGTCGCTGCAGATCAGCTGCTGCACAGTGCCATGACTGCAAGAAAGCCTGTTAGACTTCACACCCTAACTTTTATTTTACGCACTCTCCACGACAATGTAACCGACTCTCTTGCCCGGTCTTATCTGGCCTTCTATGCCTGCACGGTGGTTAGGAAAGGAAGCCAGGAAGAATAGCTGTGAGGTGCCTCAGCCTGATTTGAGCGGCGAGCAGCTGTCAGGCAGCAGAGACGCGGCTGCTGCTGTGGGCCGGGGCAGCAGGAGCAGTTCAGCCGAACGTGTCAGAGCGCAGTGCGGCAGTGGCCGAGGAAAGCCATCGCTGTGGGCCACGGTTCCCCGACGGGACAGGGCCCTTCCAGGGCAGCGCCAGCGCCTCAGCCACGGCTCCCGCCAGCGCCACCTGCTGCTCCGAGCCGTCTGCCGCAGCGCGACAATTCACTGACAAACGCACCAAAACACAGCGACAAAACTAACAGGCTGCAGTACTTGGAGTGTTTTTTCCTTAAGCTCTCTCCAATAATAATCCTTCGTAGGAGGTGAGGAGTACACTGTGGTTTACTTGCACAAAATACACTTGTGTATGCACACGTGGAGGGAGGAGTGGTGCCTGACGGCTTGAAGGCTATTACTGCCAATTGGAACTAGCCAACACAGAAAAGAAATATGCATTTTGCATGGATGATGTAATTCATGCAAGTGAAAATAAAAGGTTAAAGGCAGCTGTGGTAGGGTTTTTTTCTGTGATTATTTTTTTTTTAATTTTCTAAAGAAAGAACTTCAAAAGTTCAAGCATTTTGCAAGTTTGCAGTCCTGACTTACACAAATTGTGATGTTTTTACATTTACAGGTATATTGCTATTGAATTCACCGCTAGTATTCTGCTTATGAATGCATGGATCCATACCCTGGGTCTCTTCAATGCTTATATCGATCAGTTCAGATACTTTTTATAAAAGCTGGTAGTTCTTGTTACCTCAAGACTGAATGGTATGACTGGAATGCTATGCAACTTTAAGTCATAATATGAGCAGATTTGCAATGATATGCATATTCAGACTAAAAACCAAAAAAATCTCTTATTACCGGTTATATTGTTTGACAGTTAAAGGTAGCATGTTTAAGACTTGCAGCACTTGCTACTGATTTTCAGCTGTAAAAAGAATTTAATAGAACAGATGATGGTAAAAATAAATTATCACAAACAGGAGAAAAATCACTTAAAAATAAACACATACCAAGCATTTATTAAAAGGTAAATATATTTCAGAGCAGAATGAGTAACTGAAAGATTGCTTTTCTGACTTGGAGAAAGACTATACAAAAGATAAAAGAAAGCAGCAACCAACCTCTTCTGAGCCTATACCTACAATATATATTGTATCCTGACATGTCTACACTGACTACTTAGAACTCAGTTTTCAGGTATAGATCATCAGTACATTTTTGGTAACTATTATAACTTCCATAAATGAGTTCTAAAGAAACTAGTGCAGAATTATAGATTTAATTAATCTTCCCACACCATCCCTTGTAAGAATGTAGGTTTTAAGACTTACTGAATTCAAAATAAACCAAACAAACCCAACACAGGCAGCAGCAATTTCAGAAAATTAAAACTTATTTCTGAAACAGCTGCATTGTAGGATTAGCTTACTATACTAAATGAAGTAAAACACTAGTATATACATAATTTTGACAGTGAGATGAGAAAACAATGGAATTCAGTCAATTTTTATTCTCCTGGGATACAAATTTCTTAAATTTCCAGCTGAATTATTTTACAGTAAGAATGAAAAATGCTACGAGTATCCAAGTTGCATCAACATGCATTGTCCTTAGGGTTTTTCCTGCCCTGTGATAACTTGCTTTACAAACCAGATGTTAGATGACTTTTATCATGCACAGTGGCTTACATTAGGCAGTCATTATCTAGGTGGCATATATTATGACTATCTCTGTAAACAGCGTGTGGACAAAACAAACTTGTTTTAATAAATGGTGTCTACCACCGTCAATTGATTTTTCTTCTGAGGAATACAGTCTAAACAAAGCTCAAGGTTTATAGAAATACTTACATAGCATCTCCAATACTCATATCAAATTTAAATTTATTATAAAATGTTATCAATAATTTAAAAATTATTCTAGTACTCTAGTAATATAAGTACTCTGAGTCACATGTCAGTAGGTAGCAGTGGTATTAGGTCTCAGCAGTTCTTTCACTTTTCACTACTTAGGTTCATATATCACAGCACCATTCTTTTTGAACAATATTATTCCCAAATGGATCATATCACTGCATGGCTCTTGAGCCTATCCAGTGACAATGTCCTGCAAAAGCATCATTAGGGGGAATTCATCTTCCTTCCATTCCCCTTTTAGTGATTCCAGTTTACTCAGACTCAAACCTTTCTTCAGCTCTGTATAGGCATAACTACATATGAAGGAGTTGCAAATACCAACCACTTGGATTCCTGAATATGGATGTTACACATTACATACTGCTCTACTTTTCACTCTACTGGGAGGTCAATCTGCCAGAGTAACGCCACAGTTACTATAACAACTAGTTACCAGCAACAAGACAAGAATAAAGAAGTGGTGTGTGATTGCTGCCAGTGGTATCTTCATCTATGGCACAAATGCTCTTATGCCCAATAAAACAAGAACACATTCTCACCAGAGACTTCCAGGTAAAAGATAATAATAATACACACCCCCTGCAACACCTCTAACAGTCATACTCACAGAATAGGTTCCTTTATTTCTTAGGTAAGTAGATAAATAGCAGTTACCTTGCTTCTTATTAATTTCCTCATTTCCCTCCAGGTAAACTCCAACACTGCAAAAATCCATGCATTTCTTTCCTTCTTTAACACAACAAAAAGTGCACTGTCCAGAGACAGTTGAGTGGTTGAAATGTTTCCTGTAAACGCAGAAACTGCTTTGAAGTTGATTTTAATTTGTTGTTGTTGAGCTTGGATACAAAGTCTCTTTCATGTAATTAAGGCTCTCACTTCAGGAGCAGATTGGAGAAATAGACAAATGTAACTACATATTTGTCCAGTTTCCTGGAAAACAAATCTGAGAGAGGAAGTCTCAGTTTAAGATGTTCTGCCAGTCTGGTTCCAATAAGCTCTATGTTATTATGTTTCTTATTCTAATAAAAAAAAATACAATAAAAAGATCCAAAATCAAAGAGTGAGGAACAAGCTGCTGAAAAAAAACCCCAAGATTTTAACAACTTTGTTTATGAAACAGATAACAAAAAATACTGTTACTCTCCTAAGAAGATTTTTTTCTTATGTTAACTCCATATTTTAATAAATATTGGCTACTGCTCACAGGTGAATGTTTTTGAAATATTTAGGCAATATTTTTCATTCTAGTTTGTGAACACCTGTTTTCTGCTGAACTGATAAAAGGCTCAGCAAAGAGTAATCAAAAATTAAGTCTATTGGCAGTACAACTATTTGCTGTATAGGAATCAGCAACTAAAAAGCAATCTTGTCTGCGGCTTGAAAAACCCAGTAGACTCAACATTACTCTCAGTTTAATTTCTTTCTAAAATAGCCAGGAAACATTTTCTAAAAAGTTACTCTGTAGTCCAATTAATTTTTAACTATCCCTCTAAATTAAAGGTAGCAACCTTGTGTCTAACTTTTGCTTTCACCTGACTGTGGAAACACTTATACAGTCTCACAGAATTGGCAACATGGTTGTGCAAAATAATAACAGAAGGCTTGGAGAGATGGTTGCTTCTTACCACACAGAGTAAAACTTCACGTGACCATTACTATTAATGCCTGTGTTACTTCAGAAGTGGAGCTGAAGTAACTCTGCATTCATGAGTGCCTACGGGAAACTCCCTGTTTGCAAACTACACACCATGGTTGAAGATACAATATTAACATTTTAATTATGAATGTAAACTTTTTTTATCAAATAAGATGAAGTAATTTTAAGGTATCTCTATTAAGCTTAAATTTCTGTACCAGGCTAATTGGTATGCTTAAGGAATTCATCTACTGAAATGTGAGCTAGATAGTTAAGAATTACTCGATTTCATTATTCAGCAAGGAAAGAGATTCCTTTCCCACAATGCTTGAGAATCCTTTCCACTCTTTTTCACAGTAAACATTCTTGGCATCATAATCCTTGATATTAACTTATATATATCTTAATATATATATCTTAATATATATATATAATATATACTTAATATAGAGATGTTTTATTTGATTTGTAAAATCTCTGTCTTTTTAGCACTTAAAGACGGCTGCATTTTTTTTTTTTTTACTTACACTTGGGTTTTATATTAATCTAACTTTATTTTGACTAAGAAAAAGAATTGCTATAGTTAATTTTAATGAAATAATATTTCATTTATGTAACTCAGGTGTAAATAGGCCTGCTCCCTACTGCTTTTGATAAAAGTCACACATCAAGGTAATTCTGAGTCTAATTTGGATATAAAACTAAAGTGTAGTAGCCCCCAAAGAAAATTTGAACCAAAAATATCTGCTGAAAATACAAGAATGGTCCCATCATTTTAACATAACACAGAGGACCAGCCTGGTATTGGAAGAAACTACATTTCAATAAGGCAGTATTGTTCCTTACCACCATCCTAAATTACACTAAGTTACAGATTAGAAAACAGCCCAGTCTCCTCCACAGCTCAAAGAAAGGTCTCTCTTGTCATAAAATAAAACTGATACAGTGTTTGCTAAATGACAAACATTGAATCAAATCTACATTGGTGAATAAAATAAAGTTCTTCAGAATGCAGCATTTTCAAGTAAAACTCATGTACACTTTTTTGCCCTTGACAAACTCAACTCCTTGGTATGAAGTTTACATAACTATTTCACTTATTTCAAAGAAATTGCACAGCCTGAATATATGTCTCTACTGAAAATTAGGAAAGAAGACTTGGATATTTAGAACTAAGGATGTTTGCTAGCTGAGGAAGCTGCCAACCTGAATATCAGCTGAAATGCTCACTCTCTGAGTGTGAATGTGTTGCATCCAAGTGATAAAATGTTTCTACATGACAAATTGGACATGTTTTCAACAAGTTTAATTTTTCCCTTGCAATTTAAAGCTGAGAAAAGCTCTAACCATATAAGTGCAATTTTTGAAATGTCTACTTAGGATCACAGGTTTGTGTCCAAGAACATAGCTGTGAAAATGTGATCTGAACTATTTGAAAAATACTTGAAAAAAATCACTTACCAGATATCAATTTAGCATTAGCATAATGATTTTTTCCCTAACCAAAAGCAAAATCTTGGCAAAGTTCAAGTTTTCCCAGCCAAAACACCAGTTAAATACTGTACAGAAAGTTAATAAAAATAAATTTTAGCAATTATTAGGTACTTTCCAAACTACAGCTCAAATCAGGTATTATGAACATGAGTTAGTGAAACTATTGCATTTGCCTTTTGAGCACTCATATGACCAAGCTTTTACATGCTGTTATTTTATTGCCCACATAACTCACAAGTAATGGTATTATAATACTAGAATTAAAGAAATAAAAGAAAATTTAGAGTTAACCAGTCTTATGCCACTGTAAGTTTTCAAATGAGTTTTGTAAAATCCTACTATAGTGTCCAAAGCATTTTCACAGAAAGAGATCTAAAACCTCTCTGAAGTGGCAATCCAAACTTTCTGCTCTCCCACAGGCTGTTGGAAGTGGGCTTGGGGAAACTAAAAAGCAAGACAACCCTCTCCAAATTGTCAGATGACATGACTGATGACTAGAAACAGTATTTTTTTCAAAATAAGTGATGCCTTCACAATTAGCAAAAACTCAAAGTAGAATTTTTCTTTGGACCCACAGTTATCACAAACTGCTCTGCATGAATTCCACTGGCAAGCATGGCAATGTGTGGCCAAGTGAGTATTTAGGCAGCTTGCAATTTACATACAGAATTCTAGCTCTTACTAAAACCTGTTTCCACGTGTAACTATAAAAATTCATCAGAGCTTTCAGTAAAATTCAGCAGGGGAGATGACAAAACACACATTAGCTAACATCAAGTGCCTGGACAATTTCAATTCAGTTCTTCGGTATGGCAGTGTCCAAATCACAAAATTTGAAGGACTTCCACATAATCAGCATGTTGTCCAAACTAAGATCTTTTACGACCCAGTTATTTACAAGCAGATATTTAAACAATTTCCTAAACAACAAGTTTAACAAGGGCAGCAAGAGAGAGCGAGCTTCATCTTCCTTTTATAGTAACCCTGAACAGACTGTACTTCCCAATTTCAACAGATGGTTGAACACGTGTGTGTGCGTGTCCATTTTTCTTTTAAACAAATTGCAAGCACGCTTGTAAATTACCACCAAGACCCACGGGTACGTATGTATCCCACGGGCCGGACAGGACAGGGCAGGAAGGCGCAGACCCTTTCCACACGCACCTTTTCCGTGCTAGTGCCTCACGCTGAGGTGGAACAGCTGCTCCTGCCTCCAGCGCCTGTCCTTACAGAAATCCCAAACTGAGCTCAAGGTCCCCCCTCTGTCCCTGCAGATATCCCCTCGGGATATCCGCCCGGCTCCGCAGGGACGGCCGTGGGGAGCCGCCGGCCGCAGGAGAAGGACAAGGCGAAGGGCGTGCGTCCGGGGGCCGAGAGCCTTTCGGCCTCTTACCACGTACCATCTCGATGATCTTGGTCTTCTTACCCGTCTTCTTCTTCATGGTGAAGATGTACTGCGCCAGCACCACCCCGCCCACCAGCGCGCACACGCTGGCGCTCGCCACCGCTCCCATCTTGGCCACGGCGGTCCTGTCCATGGTAGTAGTTCCCGGGGCGCCGGGAGTGCTGCGGTGAAGCGCGGCTGCGCCCTCGGTGTGGGCGAAGGAGCGCGATCCCGGCGGGTCCT